CCCACTCACCGGTCAGGCCCAGGGTGGACGCGGGGCCCACGCGCCGCCCCCCGTGCAGGCCGTACAGGTGCATCTTGTACTTGCGCCCCGGCTCCAGGCCCCGCACGGTGACCTCGCTCTCCTCACCCCCGACACGCACCACCCTGGGGCCGCCCGTCCCTGTCCTTGTACTGGACGGTGAAGGCGTCGAAGTGGCCCCGGGGACGGTCCAGGACAGGCTCAGCGAGTCCGGGGAGGATCCCGTCACCGTCAGCTCCCCCAGCAGGGGCTCCTCGGGGGGCTCTGGGGCCTCCGTGCTGGGTTCTGCGGGGCTGGCGGTCTCCTCCTCTGCAGCTGAGAAGCACAGACACAGGGCGGGTAAGGCAGGCTCCATGGAGATGTCCGGGTCTCCTCCCAAGCCCTGGTCATGGCCGGGCCCTGGTCACTTCAGGGAGCCCTCGGGGCAGCCTCACTGACATGCCTGGAGCCTTGGGGTCGGCTGTGGCCGCAGCCCCCGCACAGCCCAGGAGCCCTTCTCTGCCCAGGGCCCCGCTGGTGCTCAGGGAGCCCAGGGGAGGCACAAGGGCACCACGGCTCAGCCTCGAGCAGAGGGGCCCCTGCGCCCCTCAGCCATCACGAGTGTCATCTCCCGCAGGTCCCCCCGGGGCTCCCACCACCCACTCACCTGTCACCCCGGTGGCAGAGGCGGGCCCTGGCGCTGGCCGTCATGGAAAGCCATACAGGTGCATCTTGTACTTGTGGTCCGGCTCCAGGCCCGAGATGGTGACCCCGTCCTCGTGTCCCGGCACCCGGACCGCCTTGGGCTGCCCGTCCCCGTTCTTGTACTGGACCAGGAAGTGGTCAAACTGGCCCTGGGGGACGGTCCAGGACAGGCTCAGCGAGTCCGGGGAGGATCCCGTCACCGTCAGCTCCCCCAGCAGGGGCTTCACAGGAGGCTCAGGGGTCGTGGTGGGTGGGACTTGGGTGGTCACAGCTTCGTAGTCGGGAGCTGGACGAGCTGGACAGAGACATGGGGGACAGGTGAGGTCTCCTCAGCCCTCAGCGCAGCACACACAGGGTCCATTGCAAACATAAGGCAATAAGGACCCGAATCTGCCGTCCACAGCGGCTCCAACTCCAATTCTTTCTGGTCCCTCTAATGTCTCCTTCAACCCCTCACAGTCAGCCTTCCTCCCCCATCTCCCCACCACCCACCAGCAAACCTTCGACCCCCTCCCAAGCACCCGCCTCCCCGACCCCACCAGCACCTCTGCGACTCCCCCTCAGCACAGGCTCTGCTCTCCTCTGAACACGGGCCCCGAGGTCCCTGTGCCCGGGGCTCCCGCCACTGGGCCTGGGTGGCATCTCACTCGCTTTGGCTCAGGACTTTGCTCCCAAACAGCTCAGACCCGACCAGAAACCTGCAGTCTTCCTGGCCTGCTCCCTCCTCCGTCCTCAGCTGCCCCGGGCCTCACTCTCTCTGAACTTCTCTCCCATCTCCCCGCCCCACACACCTGCAGCCCAACCACCTGGCCTGGGCCACCCCCACCTCTCACCTGTGCTCCCCCCTCCCTCCTGCTGTCCCTGCCTCCCTCCCATCCCTCTGCGCAGCGTCCAGACGGGACCAGAAACGCACGGTGATGGAGTCGGTCTTACTTAAAGCTGCACAACCCTGTGCGCCCGGAGGAGCCCTGCTGCCTGAGCTGCCCACTCTGCACCCCTTCTCGGGACTGTCCCCCACTCAGAGCACTTCATCCAAACCCTCTCGGGTGCCCCATGCTCCCAGTTCCCAGGCCTTTGCACCAGCTGTGGCGTCGTGGATGTGACACACTCTCCGTCCTATCGTGCTGTCACCATGCCCACACCTGCCTGAGCACAGGCCTCAGCTGCCCTGGGGGGGCCGTGGACAGGCTCCTAGGCCTCGCAGCCCAGGCCTGGCCTGACCCAGGGCTTCCTGTCGTATCCACCCCCCTTTGCCTGTTCTGTCGGTTCACAGCCTGTCTTCCCACGACCAGGAGCCCCATTAGGATAAGACCTTGTCTCTCTGCCAAGTTCAAGGTCGACCTGTGAACTCCCGTGGCTGGGCTCATAGTGCCCCATCTGGCTGACCCACTGCAGTCCTAAGTCTGGTGATGTCTGAACCATGAGGTTGGGGCGCTGGCAAGACGCTGCTCTCTGAGCACCTCCCAGCCTGTCAGGGCTCCAGTCGCCCCTGAGGCCCAGCAGGTGGGGAAGACCAGGGATGCGGGTAGGACTCCCTCCCGCAAGTTCTAAGGAAGTGTCCGATCCCTTGGCTGTGAGGTGCGGCCAGAGGCCCCTGTGGGGGAAGCGACTCTCCAGCCCCAGCCCCACTGCCCCAGCCTCACCCTCTACCAGACCCCAGGCCAGCGGCGGAGCCTGAGGGGGGTCAGGGGGGTAAAACCGGTGTTTCCACGAAGATGGTAACAAAGGGAGAGTCTTCCAGGGCCCTCCTCCCTGCCCTGCGGCCCCGCCCCACTCACCGGTCAGGCCCAGGGTGGACGCGGGGCCCACGCGCCGCCCCCCGTGCAGGCCGTACAGGTGCATCTTGTACTTGCGCCCCGGCTCCAGGCCCCGCACGGTGACCTCGCTCTCCTCACCCCCGACACGCACCACCTGGGGCCGCCCGTCTCTGTCCTTGTACTGGACGGTGAAGGCGTCGAAGTGGCCCCGGGGGACGGTCCAGGACAGGCTCAGCGAGTCCGGGGAGGATCCCGTCACCGTCAGCTCCCCCAGCAGGGGCTCCTCGGGGGGCTCTGGGGCCTCCGTGCTGGGTTCTGCGGGGCTGGGGGTCTCCTCCTCTGCAGCTGAGAAGCACAGACACAGGGCGGGTAAGGCAGGCTCCATGGAGATGTCCGGGTCTCCTCCCAAGCCCTGGTCATGGCCGGGCCCTGGTCACTTCAGGGAGCCCCTCGGGGCAGCCTCACTGACATGCCCGGAGCCTCGGGGTCGGCTGTGGCCGCAGGCCCCGCACAGCCCAGGGGCCCTTCTCTGCCCAGGGCCCCGCTGGTGCTCAGGGAGCCCAGGGGAGGCACAAGGGCACCACGGCTCAGCCTCGAGCAGAGGGGCCCCTGCGCCCCCTCAGCCATCACGAGTGTCATCTCCCGCAGGTCCCCCCGGGGCTCCCACCACCCACTCACCTGTCACCCCGGTGGCAGAGGCGGGGCCCTGGCGCTGGCCGTCGTGGAAGCCATACAGGTGCATCTTGTACTTGTGGTCCGGCTCCAGGCCCGAGATGGTGACCCCGTCCTCGTGTCCTGGCACCTGGACCGCCTTGGGCTGCCCGTCCCCGTTCTTGTACTGGACCAGGAAGTGGTCAAACTGGCCCTCGGGGATGGTCCAGGACAGGCTCAGCGAGTCCGGGGAGGATCCCGTCACCGTCAGCTCCCCGAGGCGAGGCTTCACGGGGGGGCTGGCAGGGGGCTCGGCTTTGGGGGCTGGAAGAGAGGCAGACAAGGTCTCCTGTTGCTGGAAGAGCTGGGAGACCCCCACCCTCCTGGTTCAGGCCAGAAGGGGCCGGCTCTGGCCTGACAAGACCCCTTTCTGGTTATGATCACCCAAGTCTTTCTATTTGGTCCGTCCGACAGGCCAGCCTCCTGCCTCGGAGCCTTGCCTGTTCCCTCTGCCCACATGCTCCTTCCCCAGATGCCTTCATGGCTCATGTCGATGCTCCTTTAAGTCCTGTTCAAATGTCACTTTCTCTTCAGGACCTTCCACTTATTTAAAGTTTCAATCTTCCCAATTGGAACCCACCTTCCTTTTTAAAAAATTATTATTTTTTAAAATAATTCCTTATTGCCGAAACCGGTTTGGCTCAGTGGATAGAGCGTCGGCCTGCGGACTGAAGGGTCCCAGGTTCGATTCCGGTCAGGGGCATGTACCTGGGTTGCGGGCACATCGCCAGTGGGAGATGTGCAGGAGGCAGCTGATCGATGTTTCTCTCTCATCGATGTTTCTAACTCTCTATCTCTCTCCCTTCCTCTCTGTAAAAAATCAATAAAATATATATATATATATATATATATATATATATATATATATATATATATAAATAATTCCTTATTGTTGAAAGTATTAATAGGTCCCCGTTTCCCCTCATAGACCTCCTCCAGCCTGCCCCTGCTCCCCACCCAGGCCCTCACCACCCCACTGTCCGTGTCCATGGGCCATGCATATATGCATGAAGGTCTTGGTTGATTACCTCCCACCCTCCTCTGCCTTCTCTCTGAGGTCTCCCACTCTGTTCCAAGCTTCCTTGACTCTGGATCCACTCTGTTCATCAGTTTATTTTTGTTGATAAACATATGAGTGAGATCATGTGATACTTGTCTTTCTCTGGCTTATTTCACTTAGCATGATACTCTCCAGGTCCCTTCATGCTGTCTCAAAGGGTAAGAGATCCTTCTTTTTTACTGCTGCATAGTATTCCACAATGTAAATGTACCACAGCTTTTTACCCATTCATCTACTGATGGGCACTTGGGCTGTTTCCAGGTCTTAGTTATTGTAAATTGTGCTGCTATGAACATAGGGGTGCATACATTCTTTCTGATTGGTGTTTCTGATTTCTTAGGCTTATTCCTAGAAGTGGAGTCACTGGGTCAGATGGCAGTTCCCCAATTTTTTGAGGAAACTCCATACTGTTTTCCATAGTGGCTGTACCAGTCTGCATTCCCACCAGCAGTGCACAGGGGTTCCCTTTCTCCACATCCTCTCCAGCACTTGTCGTTTGTGGATTTGTTGATGGTAGCCAGTCTGACAGGTGTGAGGTGATAACTTATTGTTGTTTTAATTTGCATTTCTCTGATGATCAGTAACTTTGAGCATTTTTTTCATATGTCTCTTGGCCATCCGTATGTCCACTTTGGAGAAGTGTCTATTTGGGTCCTTTGCCAATTACTTAATTGGATTGTTTGTCCTCCTTTTGTTAAGTTGTATGAGTTCCTTATATGTTTTGGAGATTAACCCTTTATTAGATGAATCATTGCCAAATATGTTCTCCCATGCAGTGGGCTTTCTTGTTGTTTTGTTGATGGTTTCTTTTGCTGTGCAGAAGCTTTTTATTTTGACGTAGTCCCATTTGTTTATTTTCTCTTTAGTTTCCTTTGCCCTAGGAGATATATCTGTAAACATGCTATGAGAGATGTCTGAGATTATGTTGCCTATGGTTTCTTCTAGGATTTCTATGGTTTCACGACTTACATTTAAGTCTTTTATCCATTTTGAGTTTATTCTTGTGTATGCTGTAAGTTGGTGGTCTAGTTTCATTTTTTTTTTTTTTTGGCATGTATCTGTCCAATTTTCCCAGCAGCATTTATTGAAGAGATTGTCTTGACTCCATTATATGCTCTTGCCTCCTTTGTCAAATATTAATTAAGCATAATGGCTTAGTTCGATTTCTGGGGTCGCTGTTCTGCTCCATTGATCTATATGCCTGTTCTTGTGCCAGTACCTGGCTGTTTTGATTATGGTGGCTTTGTAGTATAACTTGATATCTGGTATAGCAATTCCTCCAATTTTGTTCTTCTTTCTCAAGATTGCTGCAGCTATTCAGGGTCTTTTTTGGTTCCATATAAATTTTTGGAGTATTTTTTCTAGATCTGTGTAATATGCTGTTGGTATTTTAATAGGGATTGCATTGACTCTGTAGATTGCCTTTGGTAGCATGGACATTTTAATGAGGTTGATTCTACCAATCCATGAACACAGTATATTTTTCCACTTGTTTATATCTCCTATCTCTTTTTTCAAATTCCTATAGTTTTCTGAGTACAAGTCTTTTACCTCCTTGATTCAGTTTATTCCTAACTATCTTATTTTTTTGTTGTTGCAATGGTAAATGGGATAGTTTGTTTGATTGTTTCTCTTTCTGGGAATTCATTATTGGTGTATAAAACAGCCATTGATTTTTGGGTGTTGATTTTGTATCCTGCTACATTGCCAAATTCACTTATTAAATCTAGTAGTTTTTTGGTGGAGTTTTTAGAGTTTTCTATGTACAATATCATGCCATCTGCAAATGAGTTTTAGTTCCTCCTTTCCAATGTGGATGCCTTTTATTTCTTCTTGTCTGACTGCTGTGACTAGGACCATGGTTGGCAAACTGCGGCTCGTGAGCCACATGCGGCTCTTTGGCCCCTCGAGTGTGGCTCTTCCTAAGCCTTAGGAGTACCCTAATTAAGTTAATAACAATGTACCTACCTATATAGTTTAAGTTTAAAAAATTTGGCTCTCAAAAGAAATTTCAATCGTTGTACTGTTGATATTTGGCTCTGTTGACTAATGAGTTTGCCAACCACTGGACTAGGACTTCCAGTATTATGTTGAATAAGAGTGGTAAAATCAGACATCCTGTTTTATTCCTGTTCTTAGGGGAAATGATTTTAGTTTTTGTCCATTGAGTATGATGTTCGCTGTAGGTTTCTCATGTATGGTCTTTATATACTCCCTCTATTCCCACTTTGTTGATAGTTTTTATCAAAAATGAGTGTTGGGTTTTGTCAAATGCTTTTTCTGCGTCTATTGATATGATCGTGATTTTTGCCTTTCAATTTTTTATGTAATATATCATTTTTATTGATTTGCAAATATTGTACCAGCTTTGCATCCCTGGAAGAATTCCCACTTAGTCATGGTGTATGATCTTGTTAATATATTGCTGGACCCAATTTGCTAATATTTTGTTGAGGGTTTTAGCAAATACTAGTATGTTCATCAGGGATATTGGCCTGTAATTCTCTGTCTTTATCTGGTTTTGGAATTAGGATAAAGATGGCCTCATAAAAAGAGTTTGGAAGTGTTCCTTCCTCTTGTATTTTTGGGAATAGTTTGAGGAGGATAGGTGTTAGTTGTTCTTTGAAGGTTTGGTAAAACTTCCCTGTAAAGCTGTCCAGACCTGAGCTTTTGTTTGCTGGGAGTTTTTTTTTTTTTTTTACTGCTTCTATTTCCTTAGTTGTTATTGGCCTATTCAAGTTTTCTGATTCTTTCTGATTCAAATTTGGAAGATTGTATTTTTCTAGGAATCTGTCCATTTCATCCACATTGTCCAGCTTGTTGGGCATATAGTTGTTCATAATATTTTCTTACAATCCTTTGTATTTCTGTGGTGTCAGTGGTTAATTCACCACTTTCATTTCTGATTTTGAGTCCTCTCTCTTTGTTTCTTGATGAGTTTGGCTAATGATTCATCAATGTTGTTTATCCTTTCAAAAAACCAGCTCTTGGTGTCATTGATTTCTTTGTATTGTTTTTTTTAGTCTTGATGTCATTTATTTCTGCTCTAATCTTTATTATTTCATTCCTTCTACTTACTCTGGGCTTTTCTTGTTCTCTTTCTAGTTCTTTAAATTGTAGGGTTAAATAGTTAATTGTTAAAATTTTTTTGAGGTAATCCTGTAGAGCTATGAATTTTCCTCTCAGGACTGCTTTTGCTGTGTCCCATGTCCCAGAGATTTCAAGTTGTTGTGTGTTCATTTTCATTTACTTTCAGGAATTTTTTTTGTTTCTTTCTTGAACTTGTTGGTAGCCCATTCATTGTTTAATAACATGCTATTTAGCCTCCATGTGTTTGAGTGTTTTTCATTGTTTTTACTGTAGTTGATTTCTAATTTCATTCCACTGTGATCTGAGAAGATGCTTGATATGATTTCAGTCTTCTTGAACTTGTAGAGACTTGCTTTGTATCATAATACGTGGTCTATCTTTGTGAATGTTCCATGTGCACTTGAGAAGATTGTATGTTCTGCAGCTTTGGTGTGAATTGTTCTATAAATTTCAATTAAATCCATCTGATCCAGTGTGTCCTTTAGAGTCACTGTTTCCTTGTTGATTTTTTGTCTGGAAGATCTGTCCAGTGAAGTCAGTGGAGGTGTTAAAGTCCCCTACTATTATTGTATTGTTGTTGATCTCTCCCTTAAAGTCCCCTAGAAGTTCTTTTTTGTATATTTCGGTGCTCTTATATTGGGTGCATATATGTTTACCAGGGTTATATCCTTTTGTTGTATCAGTCCCTTTAGTATTATGTAGTGACCTTTGTTGTCTCTTGTGATGGCCTTCATTTTGAAGTCTATTTTGTCAGATATGAGTATTGCTACACCAGCTTTTTTTCACTTCCATTTGCATGGAAAAAATTTTCCATCCCTTCACTCTCATCCTGTGTGTGTCTTTTGTTCTGAAGTGGGTCTCTTGTAGACAGCATATAATTGGGTCATGTTTTGATGGGCACATTTAATACATTTTCATTTAAGATTATTATCGATAGGTGCTTATTTATGCTATTCTACTTCTGTATGCTTAGCGTTCTCTACTTCTTCTCATTACAGTAGTCCTTTTAGCATTTCTTTCTTTTCTTTTTTTTTTTTTTTACAGAGAGGAAGGGAGAGGGATAGAGAGTTAGAAACATCGATGAAAGAGAAACACTGATCAGCTGCCTCCTGCACATCCCCCACTGGGGATGTGCCCGCAACCAAGGTACATGCCCTTGATCGGAATCAAACCTGGGACCCTTCAGTCCACAGGCTGATGCTCTATCCACTGAGCCAAACCAGTTAGGGCTTAGCATTTCTTTTAATGCTGGTTGGTGGTGATGAACTCCTTTAGCCTTTTTATTTTATTTTTTTTGTCTGGGAAGCTTTTTTTTGACTATTATGAATGATAGCTTTGCTGGATAGAGTAATCTTGGTCTCAGATCCTTGCTTTCTGTTGCTTTGAGTAGTTCATGCCATTCCCTTCTGGCCTGTAGAGTTTCTGATGAGTAATTGGGTGTCAGCCTTATGGGAACTCCTTTGTAGGTAACAGTTTGCTTTTCTCTTGCTGCCTTTAAGATTCTCTCTTTAATTTTTGGCATTTTAATTATGATGTAACTTTTTGAGTTATTCTTATTTGGGACTCTCTGTGCCTCCTGAACTTGTGTGACTTTTTCCTTTACCAGGTTAGAAAAGTTTTCTGACATTATTTCTTCAAACACCTTCTCTATCCTTCTCCCTTTCTGCCTCTTCTGGCACACCTGCTATTCTAATATTGTTATGTTTCATGTTGTCCCACAGCTTCCTTAAGCTGTCCTCCTGTTTTTTGATTGTTTCTTCTTTTTGGTTCTCTGAGTGATTTTTTTCAACCCTGTCTTCTAATTCTCTGATTCAATCCTCAGCTTCCCCTAATCTGCTGTGTATTCCTTCCAATGTGTTCTTTATTTGTGCTTTGTCATTCTTTGTGTTTTCATAGTTACTATATCTTTTCTCATGCTTTTGAGCATCTTTACCATCATTATCCTGAACTTTATATCAGATAAATTTCTTATCTCCATTTCATTTCTCTCTTCTTTTGGAGACTTCTCTTGTTCTTTCATTTGGGGGTTGTTTCTTTGTCTCTTCATTTGGGCTACCTGTTTGGGTTTATGACTCTGTATTAGGTAGATCTGCTACGCCTCTCAATCTCTAGTGCAGGATGGTGCCAAGCTGTTTCTGACTAATTATCTTAGGCAAAGACTCGAAGTCTCCAGAGACCACCTCTGTCTACAGACTGATAGGATTCGGTCTTGAGTTGCCCTCAGGCAATTGTCCACAGGTGTGGCAAGAGGTTTTTTCTATAGGATGGTGCAATGGCTTCTGCTTGGAGGCTAATGGTTATTCTCAGTCTCTTAATGGGTTTTCCAATATGGTGGGTCAACTGTCTTCCCCCCAGTCAAGGCCACCTGTATAGCAAATGTCTGCATGAGAAAGATCACCTCCGCACAGTGAGGGATGACTCAGCATGGTTATCTGGGGTGTCTGCCTTCTGAGCTCTAACCCCAGAGCCCCAAAGCTGGCTTCTGTTCACACAGCTGCAGTCCACTCTGCCAGAGCACAAGGAGTGGCTCCACAGGGAATTTTGTGCGTTGGCCCTTTAAGAGCGTGCCTGCATTTCCAGCTGTCTCTCCCTGGCAGACAGCAACCCTGCTGCTTCTCCCAGCCAGATGTTGTGTGGGTACCCTTCTCAGTTCTGGTGCTTTCTGCTGGGGGCCCAGCTTGGGGATTTGACCCCAGAGTTCTCAGTGGCAACCCCCCACAGCTGAGATATCTCTCCAGGACTTCAGCTGCTGTCTGTGGGAGCCTGACCAGCCCTTTTGCGCCTCCGGCCCTTCCCATCAGTCTCTATGTTGTCTCCACTTTCCGTCCTCTATTAGCAGGGTTTTCTCCAGGGCGTCCTCCATTAATTATTCTGGAGGTTTTCCCGTATTTCAGTTGTAATTCCAGTTTGGTCCTGGGAGCATGTCTATACAACATCCACTTATTCCACCGCCATTTAAAATCCGCCTACCTGCCTTCTTTATTTAGACCAAATTTCAGCAACAACTTTGGAAAACAACAAATATGAAACAACCAGGAAACTGTAGCACTGACTGATACTTGAGGAAACTAAGGAATGACTGGTCATTTTTAAGGCACAATCATTATCATGTGGTCATTTTTAAACAGCCTTCTTAAAGAGAGGACTGTAAATATGGTGATGAAGTGCAGTGTCTGGGATGAGTGTAAAAACACAGCAATGGTCTACCCTATAAGGAACACTACCTGGCTGTACAAAGGAATGAAGTACTGCTTGATGCCACAACATGGGTGGACCTCAAACATGTGCTCAGTGAAGAAGCCAGTGTAGAACATGGACTGCATGCTGCCCTTGGTGTGGTGCTCAGAAATGCCAGTTCAGATACAGAACACAGACGGGGCGGCCTGGGCCTGGCATCCAAGTGGTGGCGAGGAGGCTTCTTCTTGGAGTGGTGGAAAGTTCTCAAACAAGATAGTGGTGAAGCACGCACACAGGAAACACACTACAGACCCACAATTTGTATACCGAAACCGGTGACTTTTCTGGTACGTAAATTATGTCAATGAAGTGGTTAATAAAGAGGCATTCTATGACGAGCCGTCTGGCAGGAGTTGATATAAGGTGGAAGCAGGTGATGACCCTGGGCCTTCAGTATCCAACGCTTCCTGCTTGTTTGAAATTGTATATATGAATACTTGTTGACTGCATTCATATGTCAAGGCCTATATCCCAACCGCCCCCAAAGAGCTCTTTCCCGAGCTCCAGGCCCAGCGGAGAGCCACACGGCCATGGCGTTTTTCACTTGAAGCCTCAGCACCCAAGGGCCTCTCAGACGGCCGGGCCCTGCCCTGACACCTGCTTCCTGCCCCCCGACCACACGTCTCCTGAGCTGCTCAGTGGACAGGGTATGGGTCAGAGGGCAGAGGTTATGGTCTGAACTGGAAGAGAATCTGAGACCACAGTACAGTGGGGCCTTGACTTACGAGTTTAATTCGTTCCAAGACCGAGATCGTTAAGGAGCTCGTTAACTCAAATTACTCTATCAACTCAATACAAAAAATCGGCAGAGAGACAGCTGGTATCTCAAAAAACTCGTTAGTCGAGACCCCACTGTATTGAGACCTTGCCAGAGCCCAACCCTGGGACCCTTCAGCTGCCACTCACCGGTCAGGCCCAGGGTGGACGCGGGGCCCACGCGCCGCCCCCCGTGCAGGCCGTACAGGTGCATCTTGTACTTGCGCCCCGGCTCCAGGCCCTGCACGATGACCTCGCTCTCCTCACCCCCGACACGCACCACCTGGGGCCGCCCGTCCCTGTCCTTGTACTGGACGGTGAAGGCGTCGAAGTGGCCCCGGGGGACGGTCCAGGACAGGCTCAGCGAGTCCGGGGAGGATCCCGTCACCGTCAGCTCCCCCAGCAGGGGCTCCTCGGGGGGCTCTGGGGCCTCCGTGCTGGGTTCTGCGGGGCTGGCGGTCTCCTCCTCTGCAGCTGAGAAGCACAGACACAGGGCGGGTAAGGCAGGCTCCATGGAGATGTCCGGGTCTCCTCCCAAGCCCTGGTCATGGCCGGGCCCTGGTCACTTCAGGGAGCCCCTCGGGGCAGCCTCACTGACATGCCTGGAGCCTTGGGGTCGGCTGTGGCCGCAGCCCCCGCACAGCCCAGGAGCCCTTCTCTGCCCAGGGCCCCGCTGGTGCTCAGGGAGCCCAGGGGAGGCACAAGGGCACCACGGCTCAGCCTCGAGCAGAGGGGCCCCTGCGCCCCCTCAGCCATCACGAGTGTCATCTCCCGCAGGTCCCCCCGGGGTTCCCACCACCCACTCACCTGTCACCCCGGTGGCAGAGGCGGGGCCCTGGCGCTGGCCGTCATGGAAGCCATACAGGTGCATCTTGTACTTGTGGTCCGGCTCCAGGCCCGAGATGGTGACCCCGTCCTCGTGTCCTGGCACCCGGACCGCCTTGGGCTGCCCGTCCCCGTTCTTGTACTGGACCAGGAAGTGGTCAAACTGGCCCTGGGGGACGGTCCAGGACAGGCTCAGCGAGTCCGGGGAGGATCCCGTCACCGTCAGCTCCCCCAGCAGGGGCTTCACAGGAGGCTCAGGGGTCGTGGTGGGGGGGACTTGGGTGGTCACAGCTTCGTAGTCGGGAGCTGGACGAGCTGGACAGAGACATGGGGGACAGGTGAGGTCTCCTCAGCCCTCAGCGCAGCACACACAGGGTCCATTGCAAACATAAGGCAATAAGGACCCGAATCTGCCGTCCACAGCGGCTCCAACTCCAATTCTTTCTGGTCCCTCTAATGTCTCCTTCAACCCCTCACAGTCAGCCTTCCTCCCCCATCTCCCCACCACCCACCAGCAAACCTTCGACCCCCTCCCCAAGCACCCGCCTCCCAGACCCCACCAGCACCTCTGCGACTCCCCCTCAGCACAGGCTCTGCTCTCCTCTGAACACGGGCCCCGAGGTCCCTGTGCCCGGGGCTCCTGCCACTGGGCCTGGGTGGCATCTCACTCGCTTTGGCTCAGGACTTTGCTCCCAAACAGCTCAGACCCGACCAGAAACCTGCAGTCTTCCTGGCCTGCTCCCTCCTCCGTCCTCAGCTGCCCCGGGCCTCACTCTCTCTGAACTTCTCTCCCATCTCCCCGCCCCACACACCTGCAGCCCAACCACCTGGCCTGGGCCACCCCCACCTCTCACCTGTGCTCCCCCCTCCCTCCTGTTGTCCCTGCCTCCCTCCCATCCCTCTGCGCAGCGTCCAGACGGGACCAGAAACGCACGGTGATGGAGTCGGTCTTACTTAAAGCTGCACAACCCTGTGCGCCCGGAGGAGCCCTGCTGCCTGAGCTGCCCACTCTGCACCCCTTCTCGGGACTGTCCCCCACTCAGAGCACTTCATCCAAACCCTCTCGGGTGCCCCGTGCTCCCAGTTCCCAGGCCTTTGCACCAGCTGTGGCGTCGTGGATGTGACACACTCTCCGTCCTATCGTGCTGTCACCATGCCCACACCTGCCTGAGCGCAGGCCTCAGCTGCCCTGGGGGGGCCGTGGACAGGCTCCTAGGCCTCACAGCCCAGGCCTGGCCTGACCCAGGGCTTCCTGTCGTATCCACCCCCCTTTGCCTGTTCTGTCGGTTCACAGCCTGTCTTCCCACGACCAGGAGCCCCATTAGGATAAGACCTTGTCTCTCTGCCAAGTTCAAGGTCGACCTGTGAACTCCCGTGGCTGGGCTCATGGTGCCCCATCTGGCTGACCCACTGCAGTCCTAAGTCTGGTGATGTCTGAACCATGAGGTTGGGGCGCTGGCAAGACGCTGCTCTCTGAGCACCTCCCAGCCTGTCAGGGCTCCAGTCGCCCCTGAGGCCCAGCAGGTGGGGAAGACCAGGGATGCGGGCAGGACTCCCTCCCGCAAGTTCTAAGGAGTGTCCGATCCCTTGGCTGTGAGGTGCGGCCAGAGGCCCCTGTGGGGGAAGCGACTCTCCAGTCCCAGCCCCCCTGCCCCAGCCTCACCCTCTACCAGACCCCAGGCCAGCGGCGGAGCCTGAAGGGGGTCAGGGGGTAAAACCGGTGTTTCCACGAAGATGGTAACAAAGGGAGAGTCTTCCAGGGCCCTCCTCCCTGCCCTGCGGCCCCGCCCCACTCACCGGTCAGGCCCAGGGTGGACGCGGGGCCCACGCGCCGCCCCCCGTGCAGGCCGTACAGGTGCATCTTGTACTTGCGCCCCGGCTCCAGGCCCCGCACGGTGACCTCGCTCTCCTCACCCCCGACACGCACCACCTGGGGCCGCCCTTCTCTGTCCTTGTACTGGACGGTGAAGGCGTCGAAGTGGCCCCGGGGGACGGTCCAGGACAGGCTCAGCGAGTCCGGGGAGGATCCCATCACCGTCAGCTCCCCCAACAGGGGCTCCTCGGGGGGCTCTGGGGCCTCCGTGCTGGGTTCTGCGGGGCTGGCGGTCTCCTCCTCTGCAGCTGAGAAGCACAGACACAGGGCGGGTAAGGCAGGCTCCATGGAGATGTCCGGGTCTCCTCCCAAGCCCTGGTCATGGCCGGGCCCTGGTCACTTCAGGGAGCCCCTCGGGGCAGCTTCACTGACATGCCCGGAGCCTCGGGGTCGGCTGTGGCCGCAGCCCCCGCACAGCCCAGGGGCCCTTCTCTGCCCAGGGCCCCGCTGGTGCTCAGGGAGCCCAGGGGAGGCACAAGGGCACCACGGCTCAGCCTCGAGCAGAGGGGCCCCTGCGCCCCCTCAGCCATCACGAGTGTCATCTCCCGCAGGTCCCCCCGGGGCTCCCACCACCCACTCACCTGTCACCCCGGTGGCAGAGGCGGGGCCCTGGCGCTGGCCGTCATGGAAGCCATACAGGTGCATCTTGTACTTGTGGTCCGGCTCCAGGCCCGAGATGGTGACCCCATCCTCGTGTCCCGGCACCCGGACCGCCTTGGGCTGCCCGTCCCCGTTCTTGTACTGGACCAGGAAGTGGTCAAACTGGCCCTGGGGGACGGTCCAGGACAGGCTCAGCGAGTCCGGGGAGGATCCCGTCACCGTCAGCTCCCCCAGCAGGGGCTCCTGGCGAGGCTGTGGGGCCTCGGTGCTGGGTTCTGTGGATCTCGGGGTCTCCTCCACTACCTCCTGGGCGGCTGAGAAAACAGATGGGGGACAGGCTGTAAGGGCGACGTGCTTTGCTGGTGACATGAAATATGGTGATCGGGCCCATCCGGCAAACACTCTCTCGAGCTGTAGGCCAGTGGTTTGTGTGGCCTTGTGAGCCACCCAGTGGCTGGGCCCTGAGCCAGGCTGAGGTCCCCCGGCTCCCACCCCGCAGTGCGGACAACTCGCTGGTGGGGCAGTGGGCTGGGTCCCTCGTGTCTGAGAAAGGAGCTGGTCGGGAAGACACCCTCGGTCTGTCCCCAAGGTCACCGCCAGTGTTGACATCATGTACTAAGGGGCAGTGAGCCTCTCCCACCTGCCATCTCCCTTTCCGCTCCTGCGGCCCCAGTGCTGCCGGAGACTGGGAGACGGGGAGAGCCTGGCGGGAGGCGGGACGGTCTGTTGGGCAGCCACACTCACCTGTCACAGCGAAGGTCGAGAGCGGCCCCACGCGCCTGCCCTGGTGCAGCCCGTAGAGCAGCAGCTTGTACCTGCGGGCGGCGTCCAGGCCCCAGACCCTGGCCTCCCTGAGGCCGCCCTCCACAGGCAGCACCTGTGGCCGCCCCTCCCTGTCCTTGTACTGGACCACGAAGGAGTCAAACTGGCCCTCGGGGACGGTCCATGCGAGGCCCACGGAGTCCGGTGTCACACTGGTCACCTGCAGCTCCGCCCCCAGACGGGGTTTTGGGGGGCCCTTTGTTCCAGCGACACTCACAGCGCCCTGCGCCTCTGAGAGGGAGACACGGAGGAGCCGGCTGAGGCATCGGGAAGGCTGGATGACCTCGAAGGGCAGGAGCAAGAGGCCCGGAGACTGGCTCTGCCAGGGCTGAGTCGCCAAGGGCTGGTGCCATGGGCTTAGGCCGGGAGAAGGCGGGACTGATCCCAGCCCCAGCGGCTGGGACCAGGTCACAACGGGGAAGGCAGCAGCAGGACGAGCAGCGGCAGCCCGGCGTGCGGGGAGCCAGGCACCTTCCCGGCAGCCAGGGCAGCGGCAGCGGCCTCACCTGTGGTGCCGTCCGCGCTGAGGGGGCCGTGGCGTCTCTTGCCCAGGAGGCCGTAGAGGAGAAATCTGTACGTGCGGCCGCTGTCCAGGGGGGTGATGGTGACCGAGCGCTCGTGGCCACCCACAGGCACCATCCGGGGCCCGTCCCTGTCCTTGAACTGGACCACGAAGGAGTCGAAGTGGCCCTCGGGGACCGTCCAGGAGAGGCGCAGGGAGTCTGGGGTGGGATCTGTCACCCGCAGCTCCCCGAGGCGGGGCGGGGCCTGCGGGCTGGCGTCACCGTGGGCCGCTGGCAGAGAGGACGGTTCTGCGTTTATGTTCCAGAGTGACTCCTTCAGGCCTCTCGTGGAGTGCAAACCCAGAACTGCCCAGATGAGCAATGCGTCCCCCACCTCTCCCTCCCCCCACACCATCCCGCTGCCTGCGCCTCCGCCCACTTGCGCCAGGAGGGGCTCTGTCCCCAGGCAGCTCTGGGCAAGGGCCCCTGATGCTGCCCATCTGACTCCCCGTGCTGCCTGGCTCTTCCCACTGATCAGGCTGGCAGGCATGGCGTTTCTCTCCTCTTACCAAGGAGCCGCTCTCGCTGATTGCCTGGCCTCTGGGGGCATCAAAGGGCCCAGGACCCCTGACGGGGGGCGGGGGGTGCACAATGTGAGGATGAAGGTGACCCTCACAGGCCCTGGTGGAGGGGCTGCCCCGAGTGATGGTCGGGGAGAAGACGGGGAGCTCAGACAGGGGACCGATCTGGTGTGGGAGCAGGAAGCCACCCTGAGGCCTGGGAGGAGCTGGTGTGCTGCCTCCCAGATGGCAAGGACGCTGACCACGTTGTTGCTACTGGAGTTTTCTGGCAACAGAGAGCCCCTGGGGCAAGGGGGGCCCAGACCGAACCCAGGAAAGAGGCAGCTAGGCCGCCAGCCCTGGGCTCCTGGGGTCCCGTCTCCAGGCTCCGAGAGGGGGCCAGAGGTCCTGCGGGCAGATATGGGACCCATGGGCCTGAGCCAACAGGGTGAGAACTCGGGTGAGAGTCGGAGGGGAGATGGCCAGACCCCCGGGCTGAGGCCCCCGGGCAGGGAGGCGGGGCTCTGCTTCTTTCTCCCCTCCCAGCACCTGTCCCAGGCCCCACGTCCTGGAGGGGGTTAGGGCCTCCCCTTCACAGGCGTAGGGTTGTGAGAAGACGGGGAAGTCCGGCCTGGCTGTCAGGGGCCTGGGCGGGTGGGGGGCTTGTCCAGTGAAACAGGAGCACAAAGGGGGGCCTGGTGGCAGGACAGGAGACCAGGAGGGTGAAGAGGGGCCTCGGCTAGTTTCAGGGGGTCCCTCTCACCTGTCTTTGCCTCCACAGAAATGGGGCTGCGTCGCTTCCCTTCCTGGATCCCAAAGAGCAGGAACCTGTACTTCCTGTCGGGCTCCAGGCCGGGAACAGTGACCGCGCGCTGGTCTGCGGCCACAGGCACCACCCGGAGCTGCCCGTCCCTGTCCTTGTACTGGACCACGAAGGCGTCGAATTCACCCGCAGGAACCGTCCACGAGAGGCCCACGGAGCTCGGGGTCACATCTGTCACCGTCAGCTCCCCCAGGCGTGGCTCCTGGGGGGACTCTGTGGCTGGAGCTGGCGGGAGGGGAGCTGGGTGGGGGAGGACAGAGAACAGGGCTGAGTGCTCTGAGGGACAACTGCCCCCCAGGGCTCCGGGCTCCCAGGGCCAGGGAGGGGCCTGAGGCGGGATCAGCCACCGCCGCACTGTGACTGCCTCTATCTGAGCGGTGCATTTCCCTCCAGCGGACACAGGAAGCAGCCACGGTGGCGACAAAACGGAGCCGCGTGCTGACCTGAGGAGCTCATGGTGGGTGGATATCCTAGGTCAGTCTCTCCCCTGACACAGGTCCATCTGCACCTTAACTGAGCCGTCTATTGTCCTTTTGCATCTAGGATAACACAGCTGATAAACGTGCCTTCACAGGCACAAAGCAATTTCCCTGCTTCCTTTGGACCCCTCAAAGCACAGCCACCGCACCAGAGCGGGCGTCGCACTAACTGTCTGCACCACCTGTGTGGAAGCAGCATGTGTCTATCATTTCACTCCCTATCCAATCCCAGAGGTGTCCCCCATTCGCTTTCCCCGCCCCCCTCACCGGCACCAGTGGATTTCATGTCGCCCACTTACGGCTCCTCTTCTGATCATAATGTATAAAGCAGGGTGCAGAAGTGCCATTTTCCGGGGCATTTTCTCAATTCGTTGAGATTCTGCTTCCCAGCAATTGTCATCTGTTTGGTTCAGATAAACTCACAAAACTCTCAACAGGTCTGAACATTCCTTACGTGGACAATGGTGGTCCAGCAGCACCCGTGACTGTCCTCACATCACCTGAGAGCTCCTGCCCAACCACGGCACGCCGGCCGGCACGTCCACAGGCGCCTACGCCTCCTTATTTAACGGGCGGGTAAGGAAGCCCCTGCACTCCTAAACCTTACATTTGAATTTAAAAACATTTTGATAACTGTATATTGACATCATTGTTTTCCTTTGTAATTCCATGCATCTTATTTTACAGTTTTTACTTTTATTTATTTCTTAATCCTCACCTGAGGATATGTTTCCCATTTACAAGAGAGAGAGAAAGAGAGAGAGAGGAAGGGAGAGGGAGAGAGAAACATTGATGTGAGAGAGAAACATCGATTGGCTGCCTCCTGCTTGCACCCAACGAGGGATCGAACTCACAGCCTGGGCATGTGCCCTGACTAGGAATCAAATCCACAGCCCTGAGGTGCACAGGATGCGCCAACCAGCAGAGCCACACCGGCCAGGGCTTATTTTACGGTGTTTTAAAATAAATATTCTTATTGCTTTCAGAGAGGAAGGGAGAAGGAGAGAGAGTTAGATACATCAATGATGAGAGAGAATCATTGATCAGCTGCCTCCTGCACGCCCCACACTGGGGATTGAGCCTGCAACCTGGGCATGTGCCCTTGACCTGAATCGAACCCAGGACCCTTCAGTCTGCAGGCCGGCGCTCTATCCACTGAGCAACATTGGCTAGGGCTATTTTACGGATTTTAAAACAGTGCACACACATTGCAGACACCCTGGCACACACATGGTGGAAACCAGTCCAGGAAGTCATGAGGGCAGGAAGGCCTGGGCGCCAAGCACGGGGGCCACTTCTAGAGGGGCTGCGGGGGGAGGTGTCCACTTGAATCCTGTCCACTTCCTGTGACAAGATTCAGGGGTGACTGCCACTTAATGCCAACAAAGTGGGCGGCAGGGGAGGCGGCAGCCATGTCCAAATCGCAAAGGGCGTGTGAAGAGAGTGGAGGACACAGCTAGACACTGAGAGAGGGAGAGGGGCATCTGCCCTGGAAGTGGGGCAGGTGAGAGGGAGACAGGCCATGGGGCTGGGGGGGAGGGCAAGGCCCAGCCTGCAGAGGGAGGCAGGGGCAGGACCTGAGAGAGATGGTGTGGGGGCTCTGGAAAGCCATGGCTGGGGCCTGCCTGGCCTCACTCACCTGTCACAGCTCCCACAGAGAGCGGGCCCAGGCGCTGCCCGCCGTGGAGCCCATAGACGAGCATCCTGTATCCGCGAGCGGGCTCCAGGCCGGGGACGGTGGCCTCACGCTGGTCTGCGGCCACAGGCACCACCTGGAGCTGCCCATCGCTGTCCTCGTACTGGACCACGAAGGAGTCAAACTGGCCCTCGGGGACGGTCCACGCGAGGCCCACGGAGCGGGGGGTCACGCCGGTCACAGTCAGCACCCCCAGGCGCGGCCCCAGGGGCGGCTCGGTGGCTGCAGGAGCGGCTCCCGGTGCTGGAGCTGAGAGAGTGGAGGCAGCTGTTAGGTAAGCCCTCCTCCCCCGAGTGGTGATCACGTCCACTGCCCTCATGGTGCCCGCGAGGTGGTCGGAATCAAACTCTGATGGGCCCGTTCTTCCAGGCCCTGGGGCTTTGGGGGCTGCCCGCCGTCACTGAGGCCTGGGAGAGGCCTTAGCGGCCCTGCCGCCTGGACTGTTTGCTCAGCACCCTCCGCCGTCCGCACCGAGCCCAGCCCTCAGCTGCTGGCCCTCGGCCTGCCCACCGCACCTCCAACCCCGCCAGGCCCGGGAGCAAGTCCTGTGGGCACTGCCTGGGGAGGCTGCCGCTGCTCGCCCACTCCGCCGCCTTCGCCAGGCAGCGCCCGCTCTCACGGACCACCCCACCGGACCGCCCCGAGGTCGCCTGCCTCGCCCTCACCCTCCGCCGCTCCCAGTGTTAGCAGGCGGTCAGAGGCGCCCACCGCCTCCAGAGCAAAGCCACGCCCTGACGGCGGCCTCCAGGCTGCACGTCCACCTCGCACCCCCCCAATTCCGGAACATTCCTCGCCGGTCCTTCCCTCTGCCCCAAGTGCCGTCTCCAAGGGCCTGGGTGGCATGTGCTGGTCCTCCTTCCTCAGCTGGGCCCTCCCACCACCTTCCCATCACTCGCCTCCCGGGCGCGGCTGGCTCCCCGCGCTTGTCATGTGGCACCGCGGGCGGACGGCCTGTGCCCGTGCGGTCTCCCCCGCTGGCCTGGCACGGGGCTCAGCAGCAGGAGCCCTGGCCGTGCCCCCGCACCAGGGGGTCACCACACGCTGGCTAAGTTAACGCGTGGTTGAGCGTCAACCGATGAACCAGGAGGTCGGGGTTCGATCCCCGTAGAGACGTGTAGGGGGCAGCCAATCCATGACTGTCTCTCATCACTGATGTTTCTATCCCTCCCTCCCTCTCCCTCCCTCTCTGAAATCAATAAAAATATATTAAAAATAAAATAAAAACGAGGCCTTGGGGAGAGATGGGCCAGAGTGGGGAGGGCAGGGGCGCGCTTCATTTCACGGCCTCGGCTCCGCTCGCTTCTCTCTGTGCTTCTTTCCACGAGAAAGGGACTGGCCCTCGCCTCAAGCCTCGCTGGTGGTTCGGCTTAACTGGGAAGGTGGGTTATTCCCGCCGCCGGGGATGCAATCCCGAGGCTGCACTGGGCATAACACGTTCCCAATGTAGAAATGCTCTAACTCGCCACGCGCCTTTCTCCTGCTGCACCGCACGTGCCCTCGGTCAGCGCCGCCAGCACCCGCCTGCTCGGACAGGGATCGCCCTGCGCCCTCACAGTTCAGTCCCGAGGCCGGAACGCAAATCAGCTGGTAGATTCCAGAACTCGATGTGCTCTGCCGCCCCTCCTCAGCGCCCAGCCGGCCACCCTTCCCAGGGACCAGAGCCTGCCTGGCTGCCCAGGGCAGGGTCACCCCAAGAAACCTGCCGCGCCTGGGCCTGGCACGGCCTCCACCCTGCTACGTGCAGGACAGTAACTCAGGCTAGCTTTCCCCTCTCTACTCTCAGTGCCGAATAAAGAAAAGAAGCCAGGAGTGGAAGGTTCTGGAAACTAAGCCAACCACGTCATGGTGAGGGTGGGCTCTGTGGACATCAGCCTGGTTCAAACCTCTCAGTTCCTCTGCTTTCAACCCTGCTTGTTCCCGAGAGGAACAGTGGTTTTCAGAACTGTGTATCGTTCCTTCAGCCAACAGGAGGCCAGGGGACACTCCTCGCTGGGCCCACGCTGGGCAGGTCAGCAGGAGGGTCCCAGAGGCCACCGGGGGCCACGGCCTTTGTGCTGTCGGAGAGGAGGTGCCAGGCTGGGTCCTGTGCGGTGGCCAGGCAGCCAGGAGGCTTCTCCTGGTGCAAAGGCGCTCACGGGGGTGAGAGCTTCCGCCCCAGTGGTGGGGCCCGGGCCTCACGCACTCTGGCCCGGGAAGCAGCCAAGGGGCAGAGGAGGGTGTAACAGCCCAGAGGCAGCCGCTGACAGCAGGCTCTCCACGTGCCAGGCCTCCTGCGGGCTTTCTGCTGCCAGCTCCCTGCACCCTGTGAGGTGGGCACGGTTCCCGTCTTACAGGCGAGGAAAGAGGGGCACCGATGCTTAAAACTGGTCCAAGGCTGTGCAGCTAGTGGCAGCTCAGTCCCTATGAACTGCTCCTCCTCCTCTACCTCAAGATGGTGGGGCCACGGCAAGGACAGCCACCACCACAGAGAGGCTGGGGCACCAGTGGGAGGAAAACGAACCTGCCCCACTCACCAGTCAGGCCCAGGGTGGACGCGGGGCCCACGCGCCGCCCCCCGTGCAGGCCGTACAGGTGCATCTTGTACTTGCGCCCCGGCTCCAGGCCCCGCACGGTGACCTCGCTCTCCTCACCCCCGACACGCACCACCTGGGGCCGCCCGTCCCTGTCCTTGTACTGGACGGTGAAGGCGTCGAAGTGGCCCCGGGGGACGGTCCAGGACAGGCTCAGCGAGTCCGGGGAGGATCCTGTCACCGTCAGCTCCCCCAGCAGGGGCTCCTCGGGGGGCTCTGGGGCCTCCGTGCTGGGTTCTGCAGGGCTGGGGGTCTCCTCCTCTGCAGCTGAGAAGCACAGACACAGGGCGGGTAAGGCAGGCCCCATGGAGATGTCCGGGTCTCCTCCCAAGCCCTGGTCATGGCCGGGCCCTGGTCACTTCAGGGAGCCCCTCGGGGCAGCCTCACTGACATGCCCGGAGCCTCGGGTCAGCTGTGGCCGCAGCCCCCGCACAGCCCAGGGGCCCTTCTCTGCCCAGGGCCCCGCTGGTGCTCAGGGAGCCCAGGGGAGGCACAAGGGCACCACGGCTCAGCCTCGAGCAGAGGTGCCCCTGCGCCCCCTCAGCCATCACGAGTGTCATCTCCCGCAGGTCCCCCCGGGGCTCCCACCACCCACTCACCTGTCACCCCGGTGGCAGAGGCGGGGCCCTGGCGCTGGCCGTCGTGGAAGCCATACAGGTGCATCTTGTACTTGTGGTCCGGCTCCAGGCCCGAGATGGTGACCCCATCCTCGTGTCCCGGCACCCGGACCACCTTGGGCTGCCCGTCCCCGTTCTTGTACTGGACCAGGAAGTGGTCAAACTGGCCCTGGGGGACGGTCCAGGACAGGCTCAGCGAGTCCGGGGAGGATCCCGTCACCGTCAGCTCCCCCAGCAGGGGCTTCACAGGAGGCTCAGGGGTCGTGGTGGGTGGGACTTGGGTGGTCACAGCTTCGTAGTCGGGAGCTGGACGAGCTGGACAGAGACATGGGGGACAGGTGAGGTCTCCTCAGCCCTCAGCGCAGCACACACAGGGTCCATTGCAAACATAAGGCAATAAGGACCCGAATCTGCCGTCCACAGCGGCTCCAACTCCAATTCTTTCTGGTCCCTCTAATGTCTCCTTCAACCCCTCACAGTCAGCCTTCCTCCCCCATCTCCCCACCACCCACCAGCAAACCTTCGACCCCCTCCCCAAGCACCCGCCTCCCCGACCCCACCAGCACCTCTGCGACTCCCCCTCAGCACAGGCTCTGCTCTCCTCTGAACACGGGCCCCGAGGTCCCTGTGCCCGGGGCTCCCGCCACTGGGCCTGGGTGGCATCTCACTCGCTTTGGCTCAGGACTTTGCTCCCAAACAGCTCAGACCCGACCAGAAACCTGCAGTCTTCCTGGCCTGCTCCCTCCTCCGTCCTCAGCTGCCCCGGGCCTCACTCTCTCTGAACTTCTCTCCCATCTCCCCGCCCCACACACCTGCAGCCCAACCTCCTGGCCTGGGCCACCCCCACCTCTCACCTGTGCTCCCCCCTCCCTCCTGCTTTTCTTGCCTCCCTCCCATCCCTCTGCGCAGCGTCCAGATGGGACCAGAAACGCACGGTGATGGAGTCGGTCTTACTTAAAGCTGCACAACCCTGTGCGCCCGGAGGAGCCCTGCTGCCTGAGCTGCCCACTCTGCACCCCTTCTCGGGACTTTCCCCCACTCAGAGCACTTCATCCAAACTCTCTCGGGTGCCCCGTGCTCCCAGTTCCCAGGCCTTTGCACCAGCTGTGGCGTCGTGGATGTGACACACTCTCCGTCCTATCGTGCTGTCACCATGCCCACACCTGCCTGAGCGCAGGCCTCAGCTGCCCTGGGGGGGCCGTGGACAGGCTCCTAGGCCTCACAGCACAGGCCTGGCCTGACCCAGGGCTTCCTGTCGTATCCACCCCCCTCTGCCTGTTCTGTCGGTTCACAGCCTGTCTTCCCACGACCAGGAGCCCCATTAGGATAAGACCTTGTCTCTCTGCCAAGTTCAAGGTCGACCCATGAACTCCCGCGGCTGGGCTCAAGGTGCCCCATCTGGCTGACCCACTGCAGTCCTAAGTCTGGTGCTGTCTGAACCATGAGGTTGGGGCGCTGGCAAGACGCTGCTCTCTGAGCACCTCCCAGCCTGTCAGGGCTCCAGTCCCCGCCGAGGCCCAGCCTGTGGGAAGGACCAGGGATACGGGTAGGACTCCCTCCCACAAGTTCTAAGGAAGTGTCCGATCCCTTGGCTGTGAGGTGCGGCCAGAGGCCCCTGTGGGGGAAGCGACTCTCCAGCCCCAGCCCCACTGCCCCAGCCTCACCCTCTACCAGACCCCAGGCCAGCGGCGGAGCCTGAGGGGGGTTAGGGGGGTAAAACCGGTGTTTCCACGAAGATGGTAACAAAGGGAGAGTCTTCCAGGGCCCTCCTCCCTGCCCTGCGGCCCCGCCCCACTCACCGGTCAGGCCCAGGGTGGACGCGGGGCCCACGCGCCGCCCCCCGTGCAGGCCGTACAGGTGCATCTTGTACTTGCGCCCCGGCTCCAGGCCCCGCACGGTGACCTCGCTCTCCTCACCCCCGACACGCACCACCTGGGGCCGCCCGTCCCTGTCCTTGTACTGGACGGTGAAGGCGTCGAAGTGGCCCCGGGGGACGGTCCAGGACAGGCTCAGCGAGTCCGGGGAGGATCCCGTCACCGTCAGCTCCCCCAACAGGGGCTCCTCGGGGGGCTCTGGGGCCTCCGTGCTGGGTTCTGCGGGGCTGGGGGTCTCCTCCTCTGCAGCTGAGAAGCACAGACACAGGGCGGGTAAGGCAGGCTCCATGGAGATGTCCGGGTCTCCTCCCAAGCCCTGGTCATGGCCGGGCCCTGGTCACTTCAGGGAGCCCCTCGGGGCAGCCTCACTGACATGCCCGGAGCCTCGGGTCAGCTGTGGCCGCAGCCCCCGCACAGCCCAGGGGCCCTTCTCTGCCCAGGGCCCCGCTGGTGCTCAGGGAGCCCAGGGGAGGCACAAGGGCACCACGGCTCAGCCTCGAGCAGAGGTGCCCCTGCGCCCCCTCAGCCATCACGAGTGTCATCTCCCGCAGGTCCCCCCGGGGTTCCCACCACCCACTCACCTGTCACCCCGGTGGCAGAGGCGGGGCCCTGGCGCTGGCCGTCGTGGAAGCCATACAGGTGCATCTTGTACTTGTGGTCCGGCTCCAGGCCCGAGATGGTGACCCCGTCCTCGTGTCCTGGCACCCGGACCGCCTTGGGCTGCCCGTCCCCGTTCTTGTACTGGACCAGGAAGTGGTCAAACTGGCCCTGGGGGACGGTCCAGGACAGGCTCAGCGAGTCCGGGGAGGATCCCGTCACCGTCAGCTCCCCCAGTAGGGGCTTCACAGGAGGCTCAGGGGTCGTGGTGGGTGGGACTTGGGTGGTCACAGCTTCGTAGTCGGGAGCTGGACGAGCTGGACAGAGACATGGGGGACAGGTGAGGTCTCCTCAGCCCTCAGCGCAGCACACACAGGGTCCATTGCAAACATAAGGCAATAAGGACCCGAATCTGCCGTCCACAGCGGCTCCAACTCCAATTCTTTCTGGTCCCTCTAATGTCTCCTTCAACCCCTCACAGTCAGCCTTCCTCCCCCATCTCCCCACCACCCACCAGCAAACCTTCGACCCCCTCCCCAAGCACCCGCCTCCCCGACCCCACCAGCACCTCTGCGACTCCCCCTCAGCACAGGCTCTGCTCTCCTCTGAACACGGGCCCCGAGGTCCCTGTGCCCGGGGCTCCCGCCACTGGGCCTGGGTGGCATCTCACTCGCTTTGGCTCAGGACTTTGCTCCCAAACAGCTCAGACCCGACCAGAAACCTGCAGTCTTCCTGGCCTGCTCCCTCCTCCGTCCTCAGCTGCCCCGGGCCTCACTCTCTCTGAACTTCTCTCCCATCTCCCCGCCCCACACACCTGCAGCCCAACCTCCTGGCCTGGGCCACCTCCACCTCTCACCTGTGCTCCCCCCTCCCTCCCTCCCATCCCTTTGCACAGCGTCCAGACGGGACCAGAAACGCATGGTGATGGAGTCGGTCTTACTTAAAGCTGCACAACCCTGTGCGCCCGGAGGAGCCCTGCTGCCTGAGCTGCCCACCTCTGCACCCCTTCTCGGGACTGTCACCCACTCAGAGCACTTCATCCAAACTCTCTCGGGTGCCCCGTGCTCCCAGTTCCCAGGCCTTTGCACCAGCTGTGGCGTCGTGGATGTGACACACTCTCCGTCCTATCGTGCTGTCACCATGCCCACACCTGCCTGAGCGCAGGCCTCAGCTGCCCTGGGGGGGCCGTGGACAGGCTCCTAGGCCTCACAGCACAGGCCTGGCCTGACCCAGGGCTTCCTGTCGTATCCACCCCCCTCTGCCTGTTCTGTCGGTTCACAGCCTGTCTTCCCACGACCAGGAGCCCCATTAGGATAAGACCTTGTCTCTCTGCCAAGTTCAAGGTCGACCCATGAACTCCCGCGGCTGGGCTCAGGGTGCCCCATCTGGCTGACCCACTGCAGTCCTAAGTCTGGTGCTGTCTGAACCATGAGGTTGGGGCGCTGGCAAGACGCTGCTCTCTGAGCACCTCCCAGCCTGTCAGGGCTCCAGTCGCCCCTGAGGCCCAGCAGGTGGGGAAGACCAGGGATGCGGGTAGGACTCCCTCCCGCAAGTTCTAAGGAAGTGTCCGATCCCTTGGCTGTGAGGTGCGGCCAGAGGCCCCTGTGGGGGAAGCGACTCTCCAGCCCCAGCCCCACTGCCCCAGCCTCACCCTCTACCAGACCCCAGGCCAGCGGCGGAGCCTGAGGGGGATCAGGGGGGTAAAACCGGTGTTTCCACGAAGATGGTAACAAAGGGAGAGTCTTCCAGGGCCCTCCTCCCTGCCCTGCGGCCCCGCCCCACTCACCGGTCAGGCCCAGGGTGGACGCGGGGCCCACGCGCCGCCCCCCGTGCAGGCCGTACAGGTGCATCTTGTACTTGCGCCCCGGCTCCAGGCCCCGCACGGTGACCTCGCTCTCCTCACCCCCGACACGCACCACCTGGGGCCGCCCGTCCCTGTCCTTGTACTGGACGGTGAAGGCGTCGAAGTGGCCCCGGGGGACGGTCCAGGACAGGCTCAGCGAGTCCGGGGAGGATCCCGTCACCGTCAGCTCCCCCAACAGGGGCTCCTCGGGGGGCTCTGGGGCCTCCGTGCTGGGTTCTGCGGGGCTGGCGGTCTCCTCCTCTGCAGCTGAGAAGCACAGACACAGGGCGGGTAAGGCAGGCTCCATGGAGATGTCCGGGTCTCCTCCCAAGCCCTGGTCATGGCCGGGCCCTGGTCACTTCAGGGAGCCCCTCGGGGCAGCCTCACTGACATGCCCGGTGCCCTGGGGTCGGCTGTGGCCGCAGCCCCCGCACAGCCCAGGGGCCCTTCTCTGCCCAGGGCCCCGCTGGTGCTCAGGGAGCCCAGGGGAGGCACAAGGGCACCACGGCTCAGCCTCGAGCAGAGGTGCCCCTGCGCCCCCTCAGCCATCACGAGTGTCATCTCCCGCAGGTCCCCCCGGGGCTCCCACCACCCACTCACCTGTCACCCCGGTGGCAGAGGCGGGGCCCTGGCGCTGGCCGTCGTGGAAGCCATACAGGTGCATCTTGTACTTGTGGTCCGGCTCCAGGCCCGAGATGGTGACCCCGTCCTCGTGTCCCGGCACCCGGACTGCCTTGGGCTGCCCGTCCCCGTTCTTGTACTGGACCAGGAAGTGGTCAAACTGGCCCCGGGGGACGGTCCAGGACAGGCTCAGCGAGTCCGGGGAGGATCCTGTCACCGTCAGCTCCCCCAGCAGGGGCTCCTGGCGAGGCTGTGGGGCCTCAGTGCTGGGTTCTGTGGATCTCGGGGTCTCCTCCACTACCTCCTGGGCGGCTGAGAAAACAGATGGGGACAGGCTGTAAGCGCGACGTGCTTTGCTGGTGACGTGAAACATGGTGATCGGGCCCATCCGGCAAACACTCTCTCGAGCTGTAGGCCAGTGGTTTGTGTGGCCTTGTGAGCCACCCAGTGGCTGGGCCCTGAGCCAGGCTGAGGTCCCCCGGCTCCCACCCCGCAGTGCTGACAACTCGCTGGTGGGGCTGTGGGCTGGGTCCCTCGTGTCTGAGAAAGGAGCTGGTTGGGAAGACACCCTCGGTCTGTCCCCAAGGTCACCGCCAGTGTTGACATCATGTACTAAGGGGCAGTGAGCCTCTCCCACCTGCCATCTCCCTTTCCGCTCCTGCAGGCCCAGTGCTGCCCCGGCCCACCCAGGAGCAGGCAAGAGATGGAATGTGCCCTGGCTGAGGGCTCCCAGGGGCCCTGCCCTCCCTCCCCTTTGACCCTCAGGAATGAGTTGCTAGGCAGGACTTGAGGCAAAAGTGAGAGATTTGGAGTGGGGAATGCCCTGCTCTCCCCTGGTTGTGTCTAGAATTGCAGCCCCAGGGCACTGACCCATGTCAGCTGCCCTTAGGTCTTTGCTGGGGCTCCATGGACTGGGGAGAATGGACAAGGGCAGTCAGCCCTTCTGTGACCCACGCCCAGTCCAGGGGGAACACTTCGGGGAGGTAGATGCAGGAGGGAGGAGGCAAGAATGGGGACCCAGGTGAGGACGGGGAAGGCATGGACGAGGAGCGGGGAAAGGATACTGGCAAGTCAGAGCGTCAGGGAGATGGAGCAGCTGCCCCGAGACTTGGTCTCAGTTGCTCGCACTGTTCTGCGTGCGGGATGGACCCTACCACTGTGTGAGCAGCTCCCGTTAGCATCCCCACCTGACAGGTGAGAAAGCGGAGGCACAGACCCTCAGTAACCTGCACAGGGTCCCAGAGGTCATATGGGAGAGCTGGGGTCAAAAGCCATGCCCCAACCATGAGGCTCCCAACCACAGAAATGCGCCGCCTGGGGAGGCTGGGCATGTGGAACCTGCTGGGGGCGAGTGGCCCTCCCCCGCTCCAGGCTGGCTGGGGGTCAGGGCGGCGTCCTCCCCATGCTGGCAGGCAGGGCGGTGCTCTCGTCCCTTGGATCTGCCAGCTCTGAACAGAGCAGCAGGGGCGTCAGGGTGTGGGCAGAAGTGAAAGCTCAGAGACAGGGCCCAAGCAGGTCCCGGAAGGGGAGGCCCTGCCCACACCCAGGGCAAGAACAGTGGCTGAGGACCAGGTGGGCAGGGGCAGGAGGAGGGATGTGCTCGGCTGGGAGAGGGGGCTGTTCTTGCAGGTAGAAGCAGGGCCACCCGGGCAGGGGGGGAGCCCTGGGATGTGGGAGAGAAGAGGCAGAGGCTTGGCGGAACTGGAGCTGAGAAAAAGAAGGGGAGGGAGGTGTGTAGGGCCCTGGGCCACATCCCTGGTTCCGCTCAGAGGATGGGGCTGGGGTGGGGCCGGGGGGTGGGGGGGCTGCAGCCCTGACTCACCCGTGGTGGCCACCACAGACACAGGCCCCACACGCTGCCGGCCATGGAGGCCGTAGAGGGTCATTTTATACTTCCGGCCGGGTTCCAGGCCGGCGATGGTGGCCGTGCTCTCCTCTCCCTTGACAGGCACTGCCCGGGGCTGCCCCTGTGCGTCCTTGTACTGGATCACGAACGAGGAGAAGCGGCCCCGGGCCACGGTCCAGGACAGGCGCAGGGCGTCTGGGGTGGCGCCAGTCACTGTCAGCTCCCCCAGCAGCGGCTGCTCAGGGGGCTCTGGGCGGGGCTCCTCTGTCCTCTCTGGGGCTGTAAGTTAGAGACCCAGCCCGGGCTGAAGGGGCAGCCGGGGTGTGGACGGCTGTCACCCCTGGAGGGTCAGACTGGGTACGTGGGAGTGCTGACCTCCTGGCGCGTCTGGCAAGCCAGGGTCTGACACATCCCCTGGGCCTGGGGAGCAGCGGAGGGTTGGACGGCCCAGCAGTGCGGGGTGGGGGTGGGGGTGGGGGGGGTGGGGAGAGGGGCAGGGTCTGGAGCCAGCCTTCCGGGGAGGCCCCGCGGGGCCTGGCTGAGGGGAGTGTGTGGAAGGGGGGCTGGGAGGGTCGCGGGCGCAGGTGCTGCCCTCACCAGTGGTGCCCTCAGCTGAGAGGGGGCCGTGCCGCTTCTTGTTGGCAACCCCAAACAGAGTGAATCTGTACTTGTGGTCGGCGTCCAGGGGGGAGACAGTGACGGAGCGCTCTGGCCCTTCCACGGGCACCACCTGGGGCCGCCCATCCCTGTCCCTGTACTGAACCACGAAGGAGTCGAAGTGGCCCTCGGGGACCGTCCAGGAGAGGCGCAGCGAGTGTGGGGTGGGCTCCGTCACCCACAGCGTGCCCAGGCGGGGCAGGGTCTCTGGGCTGGGATCGCTCCGAGGCACTGGGGGAGGGAGCACAGAGAATGGGGGACACAGAGGAGAGGCTGCGTGAGGCTGTGCAGGAGGCTCCCTGATGGGGGCACACTGACGGGCAGGTCCAGCCACCCTCCGCCTGCCAAGCTGTGTGCCGCCACGGGCTGTGCCCACCGGGAGGAAGGGCACCTTCTCCTGAACAAGGGGCCTCAGAGGCGAGGGGGCCTGGGAGCGCTTTGCCCGTCTCATGACCAAGGGGGTGCTGCAGGGCTGCCCCCTGCTTCCAGCTTCACTACTATTCACTAGCTGGGTTCTCGGGGGGGTGGGCACCATTCGTGGAGCGAATGGATGTGGGAGAGCCTCCCACACCGTGCCCTGGGCCCTACATCCTCCTCTCCTGCCCCTACTACCCCCCCCCCCCACGCTCTGTTCCCAGCACAGATTCCAGAAAGAGAGGTCTACCCTGGTGGTAGCCCTGCCCGACTTCCAGCCCCCAGCTCTCCCCAGAGCAGTGCTGAGCCCCCTACCCCAGCTCTCCCCAGGGCAGTGCTGAGCCCCCACCCAGCTCTCCCCAGGGCAGTGCTGAGCACCGCCCACCCCCCAGCTCTCCCCAGAGCAGTGCTGAGCCCCCCACCCCACCCCCCAGCTCTCCCCAGGGCAGTGCTGAGCACCCCCCCCCCCAGCTCTCCCCAGGGCAGTGCTGAGCCCCCCCCACCCCCCAGCTCTCCCCAGGGCAGTGCTGAGCCCGCCCCTCCCAGGGCAGTGCTGAGCCCCCCCCCCCCAGCTCTCCCCAGGGCAGTGCTGAGCCCCCACCCCAGCTCTCCCCAGGGCAGTGCTGAGCCCCCCCCCCCCAGCTCTCCCCAGGGCAGTGCTGAGCACCCCCCCCAGCTCTCCCAGGGCAGTGCTGAGCACCCCCCCCAGCTCTCCCCAGAGCAGTGCTGAGCCCCCCCCCCCCCCAGCTCTCCCCAGGGCAGTGCTGAGCCTCCCCGCAGCTCTGCCCAGGGCAGTGCTGAGCCCCCCCCCCCCAGCTCTCCCCAGAGCAGTGCTGAGCCCCCCCCCCAGCTCTCCCCAGAGCAGTGCTGAGCCCCCCCCAGCTCTCCCCAGAGCAGTGCTGAGCCCCCCACCCCCCAGCCTCTCCCCAGAGCAGTGCTGAGCCTCCCCCCAGCTCTCCCCAGGGCAGTGCTGAGCACCCCCCCCAGCTCTCCCCAGGGCAGTGCTGAGCCTCCCCCCAGCTCTCTCCCCAGGGCAGTGCTGAGCACCCCCCCCCCAGCTCTCCCCAGGGCAGTGCTGAGCCTCCCCCCAGCTCTCCCCAGGGCAGTGCTGAGCCCCCCCCCCCCCCAGCTCTCCCCAGGGCAGTGCTGAGCCTCCCCGCAGCTCTGCCCAGGGCAGTGCTGAGCCCCCCCCCCAGCTCTCCCCAGAGCAGTGCTGAGCCCCCCCCAGCTCTCCCCAGGGCAGTGCTGAGCCCCCCACCCCCCAGCTCTCCCCAGGGCAGTGCTGAGCCCCCCCCAGCTCTCCCCAGGGCAGTGCTGAGCCCCCCCCCCCCAGCTCTCCCCAGGGCAGTGCTGAGCCCCCCACCCCCCAGCTCTCCCCAGAGCAGTGCTGAGCCCCCCCCAGCTCTCCCCAGGGCAGTGCTGAGCCCCACCCCCAGCTCTCCCCAGAGCAGTGCTGAGCACCCCCCCCCCAGCTCTCCCCAGGGCAGTGCTGAGCCCCCCACCCCCCAGCTCTCCCCAGGGCAGTGCTGAGCCTCCCCCCAGCTCTCCCCAGGGCAGTGCTGAGCTCCCCCCCACCCCCAGCTCTGCCCAGGGCGGTGCTGAGGCGGAACTGTGAAGTCCTGTGGACACTGTAGCTCTGAATGTGACATGTCTGGCCACACCCTCCTTTGGATCTAGGACGGCTCTCTCGGGGCTCTGCCCTCTTCCAAGTCACCCCTCGGGCTGCCCTGTGGGCTCTCTCTCTGTGGTGCCCAGAGTGCTGGCCGTCCCTGGGTTCTCACGGGCTCACCCCTGCTCCTGCCCACTGGCACTGATAACCCCCACACCCCCTCTTCAGGTCTCCCCTCCACTGCCCACAGTCATGAGGGCAGGAGCATAGCCCCAGGCTCTCGCTTGCTGCTTGAGTGCCCTCTCTGTGCCTCCACTCTCCGGTCTATAGCATGGGCACGCCTCCCGCCCGGGCTGCTTGAGGATGGGGTGCCAGTCACCCAGCGCCTCCGGAGCACATGTGACCTCAGCAAATGCTTGGGAGGCGCGAAGCGCCCGCTGCTGTTCCTCACCTCTGCCCCCTGCCTCAGGGACGGGACTGCCTGACCCAGAAAGCCGGGCGCCTGAGCCCCTCGCATCCTTCACCTCCCGCATCCAGACTCACTGCCCGCCCCACCAGGCACTGCCATTTCTTGCCGGCTCCCACGGAGCTCACTTCTCCAGGTACCCTCCCCAGGGCCTCCGTGTACCTTGTAAGATACATGTAGAATCGTGTCTCTCCCCACTGAAACCCTCAGAGGCCCCCAGGGCCCTGAAGTAAGGTCCAAGCTCCTGTCAGACATGAGACCAGCACCCTCAGCTGCCCAGGCGCCCTGCTGCCCAGCGAGGAAACAGACACGGGCCCTCCTACAGAATCGCTCACCCTGCCTCCCTGTCTGCACTGCCCCCTGTCTGCACTGCCCTCCTCAGCCTCTCTGCCTGACTGTTTTCCCTTCAGGATTCCTCTCAGGGACCTCTGCCTCCAGGAAGCCCTCCTGGAGTTTCCAAAGCACCGAGAACGCTGGAGGACCCTGCAAGGGCAGGGCAGGCGGGTGATGTGCGTGACTGCTCTCACTTACAGATCTTGGCTTCAGCCGCCAGGGGGCCGTGCCTCTTCTTGCCCACAAAGCCGTACAGGAGGAATTTGTACTTGCGGCCCACATCCAAGTTGGTGATGAGGGCCGAGCGCTGGGGCCCCTCCACAGGCACCACCCGGGGCTGGTCCCTGTCTTTGTACTGGATCACGAAGGAGTCGAACTCGCCCTCCGGGACCGTCCAGTGCAGGAGCAGGGAGCTGGAGGTCACGTCGGTCACTGTCAGCTCGCCCAGGCGCGGTGGGGCCAAGGGCTTCCCGGGCTTTTCCCCGTCGCTGTCTAGAGGGGGAGGGGAGTAAAAGCAAAGCAGACTCAACCACCGCTTTATCCTGTCTCCTCCCCTCCCATCTGCCCACGAGCTCACTCCAGGCCGGACGGCTCCCTCCCTCCCTTGAAGACTCCGTGTCCCCACCGAGCCCGCTGTGACCAGCCTTCCCGAGAAGGGGCATGTCCCCCTCAAGCTCCCCACCCCTCACAAAGGTCCCAGTTTCTCTCCACACCAAGGTTCATGGGGCAGTTTCAGGCCCCCGTGCTTCCTGGGAGTTTGGAAACCCCCTGCTGCTGCAGGGCAGTCTGAGGACTCCTCAGGCCTCCTGCACGGCCTCTCCCTGTCTCCCTCTCTCCCTGAGCTGGACCTGGAGCTTTGGGGAGAATCAGCTTTCCTGGTCCCATAAGCGGGGCATGTGAGAGCCGGGGACCCCAGGCGCTGGCCTGCACTAGCTCTGCAGACCTCACCCATCTCTGCAGGCCTGCTGGCTACGGTGCTCCCTGACCCAAGGAACCCCCAGCCCCAGGAGAACCTGGACGATGGGACCACAGGGCCAGTGCCACCATCCTAACCTGCCCGGTGAGGGGGGCGGGGCTGTGGGGAAGAGCAGGGGAGGAGGGGGTTGAGGGTCATGTCATCAGAGGCCTCCCCACACCCACCCAGAGAGATCTGGGGTGGGGCAGAGGAGTGACCAGGATGTGGGAACAGGACTCAGGGAAAGAAAGCTGCAGGGAGAGCCCTGCCCCACCCTCTGACTTTCCCCCATTTTCTCTTCCTGGAGAACGCCCCTTCCCGCCCACGGGGTCGCGGTTCTCAGCTCACCCATCCCTCTTGCCTCTGACCCCTCAACGCCTTTCCTCTGCCTGTTTTCTCCCACCACTCCCACCCTGCCTCCCCCCCCCCCCCCCCGCCGAGTCCCGCGGGGGCCCAGGCCTCCCCCAACCTCAGGACCCAGGTCTGAGCAGAAGCCAGAATGTACCCATAATGCCTTGGTAGATGAGAGGGGCAGAGGGCTCGCCCTCAGGGGGCACCCCACGAAGTGACAGCTCATAGGGGGCTCCAGGAGGGGGTGAGGGCAGCAGTGCCTGCCGGACATCCCCGGGCAGTAGTTGGTCATGCGACCCTGGCCCATTGGGCACCCGGAGGCGCAGCTGGAAGTGGGCAAAGGTGTCAGGCTGGGCCATCCAGGCCACACGGAGGCGCCCTGTCTCGTCTCTGCCCAGCACTCGCAACTCCCCCAGCTCCTGGGGGCGCTGCTGCAGGCCGGGCGCCTGGGCTCCTTGAGTCGCTGAAGGGCCTGAAGGAGGAGGCTCCTCAGTGGCCCCCAAGAGGCTGGAAGGGGAGGACCCTGGGAAGGGCAGGGCAAGAAAAACAGGAGAGTCCAGTATGAGAGCCGGAAATGAAGCCCAGCGGGCAGGTCTGCCCTCTGGCCCCTAAGAGCCCACACACCTTCCTGGCCGCCTCATCCCCCCAGAGGCCGGCCAGCCCCCCAGACACGCCTGTCCCCCTCACCTGAGCAGACAGGCCTGCAGGTAAAAACTGAATGGAGCAAAGCCTCCCTCCCCCAGACTCCTGGGACCTCCAGCCCCTCCCCCAGCAGCCCCTCCCCCCCAGCACCCAGCACCCCGCACCCCGCCCGGTGGCTGTGGCCTCCATTAGTGCTGCAGCGGAAGCCTGGAAGAAAGGAGGAAGGTGGTGTGAGGAGGGAGGGTGCAGAGGAGAACGGGCTGTGAGTGGAGTGAGAGGCCTTCAGCTCAGCGGCATCTGGGCCCTACGGGGAAGAAAAGGTCCGCCACCCTCCCCGCCGCCACGGTGCCCGCTCGGCTCCTGTGGAGAGACCCGCAGAGGTGAGCCGGGCGCCGAGGGTCCCCCCCCCCATACAGCCGTGCGCAGGCTTAAGGCCCCCCAGCAGGCCCGCGGTGCCCTGTGAGGTCAAGGCCGAATTGTGGGAAACGGCAACCACTGAGCACAGTCTTCTGACTCCCTCACCGCGAGAGTCCGGCCGGGAGCTCTGGCTCCCTCTGCCCGCCCGCCCTGCCGGCATCCCGGCCGGCCCACCGACTGCCCCTGCCGTGGCCTGGAGCAGCAGTCCGCGCAGCCGAGCCTCGGGGCCCGAAGGCTGGGTGTCCTTGGCCTTGGGTGTCTGCCAGGGCCTGGGGGCGGAGGCGGTTTTAGGGACACGGGAGGGCGGTGCTTTGCTCGGGGGACCCGGGAGCTGGACCGGGAGGGCTTGGGCAGAAGGGCTGGGGGTGGCGGTCTGAGCAGGAGCGGGAGGAGCGGCGGGAAGCGGACCGCCCAGGCAGACGCTACCTGTGGTGGTGATGAAGGCGTAGGACTTGGAGGTCTGCCCGGCCCGCACCCCGTGGACCTCCACGTGGTAGGTGGTGCCGGGCCGGAGGCGGGGCAGGCTGACGGTGCGCGCGGTGCCGGGCACGCTCAGCTCCCCGCGGGGGCCTTCTGCCGGCGGCTGCGGCTGCCAGCGCAGCACCACGCGCTCGAAGTGGCCGCGGAGCCCATCGAGGGACACGAGCAGCGAGCCGTCGGCGGCGCTGCCCAGCACCTCGGGCTTGGGGTGGCGCGGCCCCGCCACCCCGTCGACGCCTTCGGGCGAGAGGCCGTAGATGCCCAGGTGGGAGTCTCGCCGCCAGGGGCCGGCGTCGGGGCCGGCGGTGGGCGGGGGGGCCGGCGGGGCGGGGGAGCCGGCGGGCGCGCGGCGCCGCTGCAGGTAGTCGTGGATGCGGCGCGCCGCCGACGCGTAGGTCTGGTTGGCCCGCAGCGGGAAGCCGCGCGCCCGCAGGTGGCGCTCCAGGTCCTGCGCGGAGCCACGGAAGCGGCCCAGCTCGGCCGTCAGGTTGCCCCACGGCCGGGGGGGCGGGGACCGGCCGGGGTCCGGCCGAGGCTCCTCCCGCCTCTCCTCCGGCGGCCGCGGGGGGCGCGCGGGCGGGGCGGGCCGGGGCCGCGGGGGCGGGGCGGGGGGCCGCACCTCCGGGTAGCTGTAGTGGCCGGGGGCTGCCGGGCAGAAAGGGGAAGCGGGGAGCGGTCAGTGGCACCCCCCCCCCCGGCCCTCCTCCCGCGCTGCCCTGTCCCTCCCGCCGGAGCCGAGCCGAGGCCGGATCCCGGGCCCCAGCCCCACCTGGAAAGAGCGAGAGAGAGAGAACGGAGTTAGTGTCCCAGGGCCCTCACCCCTCGCCCTCCAGCCACTGCGGTGCCCTAGAGAGAAGAGAAGCCCGCGGGCGGCGGGGCCGTATCTGAAGGAGAGACGGGGAGCGGGGAGCGGGAGGAGAGTGGGGGCCACAGCAAGCGGTGTCCCTCTGCCACAGGGAAAGAGGTGCAGGCATCTGTCAGGAGACCTTAGGTTAGTGGGAGCTGCTGCCATGAGACCTCACCCCCAACGCGGCCCTAAAGCCAACCCGAGGCTGGTCTCCGCGCTGCCTAATTCTAGTCCCCACACGTCTGACCACTACAGGGCCTCCCCATTTTCAGAGGGTGGCGGCAGCTCCTGCTCACGGCTGTCTCCAGGGGGGGCAGCCTGCCTCTGGGACCTGGTGCTGCCAGCGCCCTGCCAGGTGCATCCAGGGGAGCTGCGAGCCGTTTGGGGGGCTCCCAAGGCAGGGGCTCCACACTCAGAAACCAGGCCTCCCGACGCCTGGCGCCATACCTGTGTTGGCCCTGACAGAGGCCGGGTAGCTCACTGCCCGGCCCCGCTCCGCGGTGACGGTCACCACGTACTCCACGCCTGGCATCAGGTCAGTCAGCAGTGTCCCGTCTGCCTCGGCGGGCACTTCCAGCCGCACCCTCTGGTTGCCAGCACTGACGTAGGACACCACGAATCGGTCCACCTCGGCCTGGGGGCGCAGCCAGCTGAGCTCCAGTGTGGTTGGCGTCACGGCCACCACCCGGAGGTCCTGGGGGCCATCGATCACTAGCCGGGTGAGAGAGAGGGGGATCAGGCCGGGTCTGCTTCTTCAGTCCCCAGCTTTCCTTCTAAGAGTGTTGTCCCACCCCAGCCCGCCCCTAACCCATCGAAACCCTCCTGGAGGGCAGAGTCCTGGTTATCCCCCTCATCTCCACATCTCCGCTCAGGACCCGCCCACAGCCCCTGCTCTCACTGGTGGTGATGGTCTTGGAGGTAGGAGGGCCCCAGTTGGTCCCTCGAAGGGCTCGGACAGTGACCTGGTACTCCTGCCCGGGGGCCAGTCCTCTCTGGTCATAGGCGGAGGCAGAGCTGGGCACCCGCGCAGTGAATGGCGGGCTCGCGCCCTCTGGCTGCAGGAGAGAGAGCACCGGGTGGGTCAGGGCTGGCACTCAATCCCCCTTCTCCCGACTCCAGCTCCAAGCGGTGTCAGCTGGGCCTGTGCAGAACTGGGCCCTGACAGCAGGGAGCCCTGCCAGTGACAGCAACACGCCTCGGACACCTTCTCCAGGCATCTCCTGTCCAAGGCCCTGGATGTGCATGAGCTCACGGGGCCCCGGGCAGTGGCCTCAGAGGCCTGTCCATCAGCTGTCTGCCAGATGCCACCGCACAGCCCTGCAGCCCTGACTTCCTGGCGGACAGGCTTCTCAGCTCACTCTGGTCGGGACAGATGAAGGGGACAGGGATGCCCCTTCAGGCCTCACTTCCTCCTTAACCATCTGCCCAGCCTGAGCCTCCCGCAGACCCTGCCCCGCTGTGCAATGTGGGCGTGACCCCTGTCCTTCAGGCACTTCTCTTGTCTCCTCACAAAAAGGCCCATCGGCTCAGAGTTCCACAAACGTCCCCCGGTTTCGTACCTGCACCGTGCTGGGCATGGAGACACAAAAACAGAAGGTGCGGCCCCTGTCCTCAGACAGCTCATGCTCTGGAGGCGAAATGCATGGCCACGGGTTCAGTTTTACTGGAGCCTAAACCAAATCTCTACGTGTGGTCCATGCCGGGGAGGAACAACCCTCCTCCAATGTACATCTGAGGTCTCTCAAGATCCACAGGGCCCCACAGGAAAGCTGCCGGCCCTGCGCAGACAGGGGTCCTGGAGTGCCAGCCGCAGGGGACAAGGAACTGGACGTCTGTGAGCAGCCCAACCGCCCCACATCTCCCGGGCCGTCCAGCTTGGGCCGCCCAGGAGGACTCTCTGTTCCGCTGAGCTATGTTGGCTGTAATGGGGACACCTCCAGTCAGCCAAGTCGGATTGGAAATTTCAAAAGGTTCTCTCCTAAACCAACAGAATGGTGGGGAACCGACACAGGAAACAGCAAAGTATCGAACCCCGTGAGAGGCCACGCAGAGATTTCTAGGTTGAGGGTGAATAAAGCTTTGTCAGTTTTCTTGGCTGAAAAGGTGTCCTGGGCACATAGGACCCAAACCCTCTCCTGCTCACCCCGCCCTAGGATACCCCACCTAGGATCCCTGGGGTTGACCTCAACTAAAGGCCTATGAAATCCTCATCCCTGACTTAACTCTGTCACCCTTTATTCCCCCAACCCACCACACACACACACACACACACACACACACGCTCACACTTACACTCACACCCTCACACTTACACACCCTCACTCACACACATTCACACTCATATATACACCCTCACACACACACACATTCACACTCATATACACACACACTCACATACTTTCACACCCATATACACACACTCCCACTCATACACTCACACACACCTTGGGTGCTCCCTAACGATGTCTGTAATGGCTTGTCCTTTCAGCGAGACAGGCCCATCCCAACATCTCCTTCTTGCTTCAAATCATCTACACCAGGGGTCCTCAAACTTTTTAAACAGGGGGCGAGTTCACTGTCCCTCAGACCGTTGGAGGGCCGGGCTATAGTTTAAAAAAAAACTATGAACAAATTCCTATGTATACTGCACATATCTTATTTGGAAGTAAAAAAACAAAACGGGAACAAATACAGTATTTGTATTTGCATGTGGCCCGCGGGCCGTAGTTTGAGGACCCCTGATCTACACAAACCTTTTTACACCTTAGTCCCCCCTGAGATCCACTTCGGAACAGTTCCCTGACGGTCCCACCATCAGCACATCGGGCCGTCTGAGGCAGGCTCTCTAGCCAGATGCTGGTAGGTGGCGCTGCCCCTTTGTAAAAGCGTGGCTGCTTCACTGATTGCCCTGGGCTAGTTTCTAACCCTATTCTTGAAATCAACCTTGTAGCCCCAGGTGGGGGACTCCACCTTGGCTGGTCTTGGAGCTTACATCCCCCTCTTCAGACCAAACTCAAATACAAACTTTTCTGAGGCTGCAAGGTCTTGTGTCCCAATGACAACTGACGTAGCCCTGGTCCCCAGGCTGCAGATACACCCGGACGACTACATGGACCTCTTCCTGCTCCGGGTCACCGCCCTCAGCTTCCTCATGCTTTCTCTCACGTTCATAGAGGAGCCAGCATTTTGCAAAATAGCAACATTCCTTGTTAGTGGTCCTCGGGTTTGGGGTGCAGCAGAACCACCTGGAGGGCTGGTTGCAACACAGGTTGTGGGGCTCCACCTGCAGAGCTGCTGAGTCAGTAGATCTGGCACCACTTCCAGATCCAGCACTTGGCACATCTAACCAGCGCCCAGGTGGTGCCAATGCCACAGATCCAGGGAACACACTTTGAGAACCACTAAGTCAGCATAACAATGCCACTATACAGAGAGAAGACTGCTCCTCTCTGGCATTCTGAAAATCATCCCAATAGCGAGGCGTGTCCTTGGCCAGGATTAGCAGAGTGCGAGCTCCGAGAGGAAAGTGCTTCTGGGAAGGTAGAGACAGGCAGGCTTCTAGGAAGATGGCAGTGGCCAGAATATATCCTGTGCCAACAGAAATGGACAGAGAGCACTGGCCAAGGCGGGAGGCGTGACTCCAGGGGCCAGCCACAGAGGGTGCAGACAGTATAGTGTGCAGGCCAGCAGCACAGGCTACGGGGAGCCCGATAGGAGCACTTGGGACCAAGTTTACGGGCGCGTTCCTCACACCCGGGCTCAGAGAGAACGGGAATGTGACAGGGGACCGGACCCAGAGCAGAGCACATGAGCTGACAGCGTGGCCACGCCGGCACAGCCAGCTCAGCGCCACCCAGCCCGTGGTGAGGGAGGAAGCCAAGGGCTTCGCTGGGAAGCCCCGCTTCTTGAGGACACCGGGGCGTGGGCCGTATCTCCGCGACTGGGGGACTTGCTGCCCTGCACGCTCCTTCCATCTCAAGTGCTTATTTTAATTCCACTTTCCCTCAAGTTTCTTTGGAAAGTTCCTTTTAAAAGTCCCACCCTCTCAAGATGAGAACTATGTAAACAATATACACAGAGAAGAGAGTGGGAGAAACACTTAAACATGTTAACAGTGTTATTTTAGTGTGAAGCAGCCAGGAATTATTTGTGTTTTCTTCTAGTTGCCAAATTCTTGTCTTGTGATTAAATTATTTTTATACCAAGAAAAAACTGTCTAAAACAGAAGAAAAAAACCCAAGCTATCCTGTTTCTACAGCAAAGGGCTTCTATCTCCGCCATTCTCGGGGTGAGGAGGGACAGAACACGAGGGGCTGGCTGGGGGGTAAGAAGCGCCGGGCCAGTGGGGTGGGATGGCAGTGGCACCTCGGCGCTGCCCCTTCGGTCCCCGAACCTTCCTTGGGCTTCGGCCCTGGGAGTTATTTATGCTTCCGGAGTCCTGGCTGGCAGAGATGAGGGTGACACGGCCTACGCACCACCGCATTTGTGGGGCGGGGCAGGAAAACATGCGTTGGACAGTAGAAATGTCAGATGATTTGGGCTGGGAGACCAAACACATCATGAAAGGGCACGAAGGCATGGAGGGAGGTGCTGATACGAGAGGCCGAAGGCGCTGTCCTTAGGGTGCCCCCACATACTTTAAGAGCGAGTTGGAAGGAGCCAGAGAAAGGCTGCTCTGCAAGGCACTGAGGCGGGAACCACTTCACAGACTCCAAGTCATGCAACAGCCTGGGCAGTCTGGCCCAGACCGAAAAAGATAACATTGAACAGAGCCAACTGCCAAGCCCTATATTTAGGCTAAAAAAGTGAATACAGTTCAATGCTGTCTTTTTTCCTTTCTCCTTTTCTTCTTTCTTTTTTCCTTATTTATCTACTAGAGCAGTGATGGCGAACCTATGACACGCGTGTCAGAGGTGACATTTGAACTCATTTTTTCGGTTGATTTTTCTGTGTTAAATGGCATTTAAATATATAAAATAAATATCAAAAATATAAATCTTTGTCTTACTATGGTTGCAAATATCAAAAAATTTCTATATGTGACACGGCACCAGAGTTAAGTTAGGGTTTTTCAAAATGCTGACACGCTGAGCTCAAAAGGTTCACCATCACTGTACTAGAGGCCCAGTGCATGAGATTCGTGCACTGGGGGGGGGGGGGTGTCCCCTCAGCCCCCAGCCTGCACCCTCTTGTAGTCCGGGAGCTGTGCATTAACCACCAGGGGGCAGCTCCTGCTTTGAACGTCTGCCTCCTGGTGGTCAGTGCGCATCATAGTGATGGGTCATTCCCTGTTTGGTCAATTCGCATATTAGCTTTTTATTATATAGGATGTTTTCTAAAGTTCCTACATTATCTATATATGTTTTATAACAAAAAGTTATTTGAAAAAACAAATATGATCAAAACAGCTGACAGTCTGACCACAAGTTAACACATGTCAACTCTGAGAAAAATACCTGGGTCTCCAGAGTTAGCCAGTGACTGGGCTCTTCTCTGCTCTCGTGTTTCAGAAACAAACACACAAAACAAGAGGCACTAGAAGAGGGCACTCTGGGAGCACAGCGTTCAAGACCAGAGTCCTAGGCATTTGCCCGTGAGAATGAAGGGCGACATGATGCCCGCGTCTCCAGACTCTGAAAGCCCGTGGCGCAGGGTGCAGGGCAGGCGGAGCAGGTCCCTGGCTGCTGGTGAGGCCACTGGTGGGCGTGGAAGTGGGGCCCCACGCAGCACGGGACAGCCTCAGAGAACTGAGCTCCGTGGCCAGAGGTGTCCCAGCAGCAGTGGGCCAGCGCCGGCGGAGGTGCTGGAAGGCTCTGCGCCCATGTGGGCAGGACCAGACCCCACAGCGGCTTCAGGGGCCCAGCCGTCTGCACTCAAACACTGACGACCTGGAAGGACCTGCACGGTGAACCCCTCCCCGGGCCTCCCCGCCGCCCCTCCTGGCCCGGCAGCCCCTCCTGGCGTGGCTCTCACCGTGGGGATGAACTGAATCTCATAGGCATCCACCGGGCCTGGAGCCCGGGTCCACTCTGTCCGAACCGTCGTCTCCTCCAGGAGATGCATCCTCATGCCCTCAATGGCTGGCACCTCTGCCCACGAGAATGGGATATAGACTCTGGTTAGCCCAACGCAGCCCCAGCTGACGCCCACATCACCGGCCACCCTCCTCCCGGCTGCACTGAGATCAGTCCCAGCTCACACTGCCCCGTGGGGGTGGGGCAGTTAGCAGAGGTCAGAGCAGGCCCTGCTTCCCCCAGCGCCAGGAACACAGAATCTCCCTACTAGTAAAAGCAACCCAGGAGGCCCCGCCTGCTCATCAGGTATCTGAAGCAGGTCCTGCTGCAGGCATGCACCCTGGTTGCCCTGCCCCTGGCCGCTGGTGCCCGCTCCCCGCGTATGTATATGACCTCCCTCCACTCTTCCTCCAGCAGCTGGGCTCCTAGGCCCGGGCCCAGCCTTCCCCCCGCTCAGGTCCCATCCCGGAGGAGCAAACTGGAAAGGCCGCGCTCACCTTCCCCGCAGTCCTCCCCTGCATAGCCCTCCGGGCAGACGCAGCTGCCCTCGCGACACTCTCCGCGGCCCCGGCAGTCCCCAGGGCACGTCTGGATGGCGCAGTCGGGGCCTCGGAAGCCCTCCACGCACACACACTGGCCGGCGCGGCACAGCTCCCGGGGCCCGCAGCCCCCGGGGCAGGCAGCGGCAGGAGGCTCTTCCTGCCCACAGTCCTCGCCGCTGTAGCCCGCGTGGCACACGCACGCTCCCTGCACACAGCGCCCGTGGCCCCGGCAGTCGTGCGGGCAGGTGCGGGCGGAGCAGGAGGGGCCGGTGTAACCGGCGTCGCACACGCAGCGCCCATCCTCACAGCGGCCCCGCCGGTGGCAGTTGGAGGGGCAGGTCCGGAGGCTGCAGTCCTCTCCCGCGAAGCCCTCCCAGCAGGAGCACACCCCATCCTGGCACACGCCGCGCTGGCTACAGTCGTGCGGGCACCTCCGCAAGCCGCAATCGTCGCCCGAGTAGCCGTCGTCGCACACACAGCGTCCGTCGAGGCACTGGCCGCGGCCTCGGCAACCTCCGGGGCAGCTCAGCGCGCCGCAGTCCTCTCCCTCGTAGCCCACGTCGCACGCGCACACGCCATCCTCGCAGCGGCCGCGGCCCCGGCAGTCCCCGGGGCACCGACGGCTCCCGCAGTCCTCGCCCGTGAAGCCCGGGTTGCACACGCAGCGGCCGTCCACGCAGCGCCCTCGCCCACGACAGTCGCCGGGGCAGGCGCGTAGGCTGCAGTCCCGGCCCGTGTACCCGGGCCAACACACACAGCGGCCACTCTCGCAACGACCCCGGCCGCGACAGTCCCCGGGACAGCTGCGCACGCCGCAGTCCTCGCCGCTGTAGCCCGCATTGCACACGCACACGCCGTTCTCGCAGCGCCCGCGGCCACGGCAGTCGCGCGGGCAGGCGCGCGCGCCGCAGTCGGGACCCGAGTACCCGGGCCAGCACACGCAGCGGCCGTCCTCACAGCGGCCCCTTTGGTGGCAGTCGCCCGGGCAGCTGCGCACGCCGCAGTCGTCCCCGCTGTAGCCCGCGTCGCAGATGCATTCGCCGTCCTCGCAGCGCCCGCGGCCCCGGCAGTCGCGCGGGCACGTCCGCGTGCCGCAGTCCTCGCCCGCGTAGCCGGGCCAGCACACGCAGCGGCCGTCCACGCAGCGCCCACCTTCGCCACAGTCCCCAGGGCAGGTCCGCGAGCCGCAGTCCTCGCCGGCGTAGCCGGGGTCACAGACGCAGCGCCCGTCCTCACAGCGCCCCTTCTGGCTGCAGCCCCGGGGGCAGCTCCGTGCCGCACAGTCCTCGCCAGTGTAGCCCGGGTGGCACACGCAGCGCCCGTTTTCGCAGCGCCCCCTCTGGCTGCAGCCTCGAGGGCAGGAGCGCTGGCTGCAGTCGGCGCCAGAGAAGCCCGGCCGGCACACGCACGCGCCCTGCACGCAGCGCCCGTGGCCGTGGCAGTCCCCGGGGCAGGAGGGCCAGCCACAGCTGGGGCCCGTGTAGCCAGAGAAGCACACGCAGCGACCACGGACACAGCGCCCCTGGTCGTTGCAGTCATCTGGGCAGGACCCGGAAGCAGAGGGTGGGGAGGAAGGGGACACTCGGGAGTCCGTAGGGTCAGAGCAGGTGGGCCCACCCCAGCCAGGCTCGCAGGAGCAGGCGCAGCGGTTCAAGTCAAACACGCCGTGGAGGCTGCAGAGGCTACGAACGTCTGTCTGGCCTGGAGTAAGAGCGAGAGGAGGGCCTCAGTCTCTCTGGGCAAGAGGCTGGGTCCCTACAGTGTCCCCTGAGCTTCCCCTCCAGCAGGGCCATCTTAGCTTCCAGCTGCTCCTTATCACTGTGTGGGGGGAGGGGAGCTGACATCTAGCCAGATGGCTCCCCTCCCCCAAGCTGTGCCCTGGGCTGCACTCACCACCCCAAGTCGTGAGGAAGAGGTGCCTTTTTCTAATTCATACCTGGGTCTTTTATAGACTGGCGATGCCCACCCACCTGCCCCTTTTCCTGTGCCCCCTCCTGTGGTCACCTGCTCACCTGTGCCAGCCTGGGCAGCAGCAGGACAGCATCCCCCAGTGCACTGTTCCTTGAGCCCCTTCACCAACTCCTCCAGGATCTCTAGCCGGACCCTCAAGGCCTGCACCTCTGAAGCAGGGACCGGGGGCTCAGTGCCTGGGGGACAGCCACAGCCAGCTGACGGGGGCAGGTTAATGCGGTGGGTGAACACCACCTGCTTTTCCCCTCCTTCTACGATGTGCTCGTAAAGCTGAGAAGAGGGGTTCCCCCCGCTTGGCTCCGCTGTGCGGCCCCCTGGCTGAGGAGGGGGCCGAGGGGCTGGGAGTGTCATATTGGAGCGTGGAGAGAAAGGGCCTGCTTGGACTGCGCCCAACAGCAGCAGGAGGGCCAGGCTGGAGGCTCGGGAACACTGGGCTGGCATCATTCAGGAGGCTGCAGGGAGAGAGGGCAAGTGTGAGAGCAGTTTCACAAAGACAAGATGCCCCCAACACATACATTAACAACAGTCCCTCCACCCACAACTAACCCACCCAACGCACATGTACTGAAACCCCAGTTAACCAACCCTAAGGAATGCCCTCCTTGGAGATTTGTTGGTCTCTAACTCACTTTCTGATGTCATTTGGTTACCCTGCTCCCCATCCCTTTGCACTGTTGCACCCACACTAGTCCTTTGTTTGTTCCACCGACACCACAAGCTGGCATTAGCCTGAGGGACTTTGCACTGTCTGTTCCCTCTGTCTGTTCCCTCTGTCGCTCAGCTCTCAAAGGGGGGCTCTTGCTTGTGCAGATCATAGCTCCTGTGTCACTGACACCCAGAGGCCTTCCTTGCTGCCCAGTTGGAGCAGTCTTCCGTTACTGTCCGCCACAATATCCCACTTGTGTTCTTTGTGGCACTCACTGCTGCCTGAACCATCTGTTGGAGCTCCAGTAGTGGGAGCTCCATGAGAAGTGCACAGCTGCATGCACAGCTGCATGCCTGAGGCTGGCACACAGGAGCAGTCCAAAACATTGATGTTGAATGGATTAGTAGATGAGTATCTACCGCCAACCCTCCCACAAGCACCTGGATCCCAGTTCCTCCTATCTTCTCAGGAAATTTCAGGGGTAGACTGTCCTCTCTCTTTTTTATTCAACTTCTCACTCTCAACTAGATCCTTCCATTGGATTTTACATGAGCTCAGATATATCCCTTTTTTTAAAAAGCCCCTTTCCTCAGGACTTATATTACCAAGTATCAAAATCTCTTACAAAGATGCAAGAATAGACAGAACAGAATAGGGTCCAGAAACCGACAGACAACATCTATGGTCAGCTGATTACTGGCAAAGGTGCTACTAAAATTAAGAGGGGACAAATGGTCTTTTTGATAAATTGTGCTTGGCCAACCGAAATTCCATATGGAAAACACACCTATCTATACCTTTTGCCCACATATAAAAGTTAATTTGAAATGAAACTTAACCAGAAGGATTAAAAATGGTGGCAGAGTAAGTGGATGCTGCATAGGCATGCTCTCAGGACCAAACTGGAATTACAACTAAAATACAGAAAAACTTCCTGAATAATCAACGGGAGACTCACTGGAGAGAAACCTGGTAACCGAGGACGGAAAGTGGAGATTGCATAGGAACTAGGAGGAGGGGCAGAGGCACGAGAGGGCTGGCTGGGCTCCCACAGACAGCAACTGAAGTTCTGGAGAGATATCTCAGCTGTGAGGGGTTGCCGCCAAGAACTCTGGGGTCAAATCCCCAAGATGCCCCCTCCCCCCTGCAGCAGAAAGCACCAGAACTGAGAAGGGTACCCACATAACATTTGGCTGGGAAAAGCACCAGGGATGCTGTCTGCCAGGGAGAGACAGCTGGAAATTCAGGCATGCTCTTAAAGGGCCAATGCACAAAATTTCTTGTGGAGCCACCCACATTGTGCCTCAGCTGGAGCTGTGTGAGCAGAAGCCAGGATTGGGGGCTCTGGGGTTAGAGTTTAGAAGGCAGACACCCTGATTTCCTGTGCTGAGTCATTCCCTCTTGCTGCAGAGGTCACCTTTCTTATGCAGACATTTGCTATACAGGAGGCCTTATCTGTGGGGAAGATAGTTGACCCACCCTATTGGAAAACACCTTGCCCCACTGTGCAGAGTTTCTGATGGGAATTAAGTGACTGAGAATAACAATTAGCCTCCAGGCAGAAGCCATTGCCCCACCCTGTTGGGAAAAAAACTCTTGCCACACCTGGGGACAATTGCCTGAGGGTAATTCAAGATGGAATTCTGTCTATAGACAGAGGCGGTTTCTGGAGGCTTTGAGTCTTTGCCTGATCTAATCAGTCAGAAACAGTGTTTGACACTGTCCTGCACTACAGCTTGAAAGGCATAGCACATCTACCTAATCCTATCTAATAAAAGAGAAACATGGTAATTAGCGTACATCCACTACCCTTCCCATTGGCTAATCAGGGCGATATGCAAATTAACTGCCAGCCAAGATGGCGAACAGCAGCCAGGCAGCTTGAAACTAACATGAGGCTTGCTTGCTTCAGTGACGGAGGACTCCAACGTTCCCCGCCTGCCGCTGCCGGCCTCTGAGCTTGCAGTTTGAAACATTGTAACAAATATAGAGGCTAAACAAAACCCCAGAAACCTGCTTTCAGCGAGCCGGGATCTCAGAGCTGGAGTTGATACAGTGTTTCGATTATAGAACGCAAACAAACCAGATACCTGCTTTCAGCAGCAGAGGCCTCAGAGCTGGAGCCAGAGCTAAATCTGGCCCAGAATAAAAAAAAAAAGAAAAAAGGAGCAGTTGGGAGCTTCTGTCACCCGCCAGCCTGAAAACAGCCCTCAGCCCCTCACCCAGACTGGCCAGGCACCCCAGTGGGGACCCCCACCCTGAAGCGTGTGTGACCAGCTGCAAACAGCCATCATCCCCTCATCCAGGCTGGCCATGCAACCCAGTGGGGACCCCCACCCTGATCCAGGACACCCTTCAGGGCAAACCAGCCGGCCCCCACACGTGCACCAGGCCTCTATCCTATATAGTGAAAGGGTAATATGCCTCCCAGCACCAGGATCAGCGGAGCCGCGAGGCCTCCTGGCACCGGGATCAGCATGACAGGGGGCAGCGCCCAAACCCCCTGATCGCCCTGTGGCTCTGTGTGTGACAGGGAGTGGGGCCACAACCTCCCTATCCGCCCTGCTCTGTTTGTGACAGGGGAAGGCACCCCAACCCCCTGATCAGCCCTGCTCTGTGCCTGATAGGGGGGAGCTCCCCAACCCCCTGATCGGCCATGCTCTGTGGGTGATAGAGGGTGGCACCCCAACCCGCCTCCCCACCCCCCCCGCCATGGGCCCTGCTCTGTGTGTGATGGGGTAGAGCCATAACCTCCCCATCGGCCCTGTCCTGAGTGTGACAGTGGCAGCGCCCCAAACCCCTGATCGGCCCTGCTCTGTGGGTGATAGAGGGCAGCGCCCCAACCCCCTGATCCGCCCTGCTCTGTGTGTGACAGGGGGCGGTGTCCCAACTCCCCTATCGGCCCTACTCTGTGAGTGACAGGGGGGAGATCCCCAACCCCCTGATTGACCCTGCTCTGTGCATGACAGGGGGTGGCACCGCAACCTCCCCATCGACCCTGCCTTGAGTGTGACAGGGGTCGGTGCCCCAACCCCCCAATCGGTCCTACCCTGAGCGTGACTGAGGGTGGCATCACAACCTCCCAATCCGCACTGCTCTGTGCATGACAGGGGGCGGCGCCCCAACTCCCCAATTGGCCCTGCTCTGAGCCCGACCAGGGGCTGCACCTAGGGATTGGGCCTGCCCTCTGCCACCTGGGAGCAGGCCTAAGCCGGCAGGTCGTTATCTCCCGAGGGGTCCCAGACTGCGAGAGGGCACAGGCCGGGCTGAGGGACCCCCCCTCCCCCCCGAGTGCACAAATTTTTGTGCACTGGGCCTCTAGTACAGACTAAAACACCAAACAGGCAGCCAAAATGAGACACAAGGAAACAACCCAAAATGAAAGAACAAGAGAATTCTCCAAAAGAAGAGACAAAAGAATGGAGATAAGAAATTTATCTGATATAGAGTTCAGAATAATGATGGTAAAGATGCTCAAAAGCATGAGAAAAGATATAGTGACTACTGAAACACAAAGAATGACATAGCACAAATAAAGAAAACATTGGAAAGAATACACAGCAGATTAAGGGAAGCTAAGAAACAACAAGAAAAGCATATAGTAAGTATAAGGAAGGAAATAATAAAGATTAGAGCAGAAATAAATGACATAGTGACTAAAAAATAAATAAATAAATAAATAAAATCAATGAAACCAAGAGCTGGTTTCCTTGAAAGGATGAACAACATTGATGAACCATTAGCCAGACTCATAAAGAAACAAACACAGAGGAGCCAAATAAATAAGAAAAAAAAGTGGAGAAGTAACCACTGACACAACAGAAATACAAAGGATTGTAAAGAAATTCTATGAACAACTATATGCCAACAAGCTGGACAATGTGGATGAAATGGACAAATTCCTGGAAAAATACAATCTCCCAAAACGGAATCAGGAAGAATCAGAAAACCTGAAGAGGCCAATAACAAATGATGAAATTGAAGGAGTAATAAAAAAAACTCCCAGCAAACAAAAGCCCGGATCTGGGAAGCTTCATAGGGGAGTTTTACCAAACATTCAAAGGAGAACTAATACCTATACTCCTCAAATATTCCAAAAAAATCCAAGAGGAAGGAACACTTAAAAGCTCTTTTTATGAGGCCATCATTATCCTAATTCCAAAACCAGGTAAAGACACTACAAAGACAGAGAATTACAGGCCAATATCCCTGATGAATATAGATGTTAAAATCCACAATAAAATATTAGCAAATTGCATCCAGCAATATATTAAAAAGATCATATACCATGATCAAGTGGGATTTATTCTAGGGATGCAAGGCTGGTACAATATTCGCAAATCAATAAACGTGACACATCACATAAACAAATTGAAAGACAAAAATCATATGATCAACTTAATAGATGCAGAAAAAGCATTTGACAAAATCCAACACCCTTTTGATAAAAACTCTCCACAAAGTTGGAATAGAGGGAGCATATCTCAAAATGATAAAGGCCATTTATGACAAACCTACAGTGAACATCATACTCAATGGGCAAAAACTAAAACCATTTCCCCTAAGAACAGGAACAAGACAGGGATGTTCACTTTCACCACTTTTATTCAACATAGTACTGGATGTCCTAGTCACAGCAATCAGACAAGAAGAAGAAATAAAAGGCATCCAAATTGGAAAGGAGGAAGTAAAGCTCTCATTATTCACAGATCACATGATATTGTACATAGAAAACCCTAAAGACTCCATCAAAAAAAACTACTAGATTTAATCAATGAATTTGGCAATGTAGCAGAATACAAAATC